CATAATTCGTTAAAAATTTGTAAAGCCCGAAATCTATAAGAATCTAAATTTTGGGCCACAGCCTAATTCTAGTGTTGACTAGTGTAATCGAATATTCTCCGAATCGCCGAAAGTGTAATGTCTCTGTTTGTCTCTGCCCAACGGAGGGTTATTTGTTATTTATTTGTTATTAGTCATATATGTACATATGTATGTAGTAGGTATGGTCAAAAGTTCTTTCTATAAAGTTAATTGTTGTAGGTATAGGATAAGAATTTTATCAAATGTACATTGCTAATGCATACAAAATTATATTCATCCCCAGAACAGTGAGCGCATCTCCAAATACATGCCAATTTATTTTCGTTTGGATTTATTAGACCGCTTCGGCTTAATAATAAATTTCGCTCAATTTTTGTTGGTCAAATTCAATTTGGTTTTTGTTCAACAAAGTAAAGAAGATTTTTCCTACCTTCAAGGGTCGGATTTTGATTGTGTATACAATGTCAATAAGAAATGAAAAAAAAAATTGGCTCTAAATTGCGGGGTTGAAAGTATGGGGGTGGATTGGCATTGCCATCAATACATAAAACTTGTTGAAATATTACAGTGCTTGCAGTCTAATAAAGGCAACTGTCCTCACCAATGACGCTACCACCAATCTAGTAAATTTTAAATGATCCAAGCCGTCGCGACGACTGGTTTGTAATACGAAAAACGAATAGAAAGAAAAGCCAATCATTAAGGCAAATAGTTTTGGTACAGTCATTTTCATGCAAGGTCCCAACAGCGAGCAGCATTAGTTTTTCAGATTTGGATTTAGCCGGATCAACTGCCATTGTCATGTTTAGTTTAGAGAATGTTCTTGCTCACAGCCAGCTATAGATTATATCTCTAAGAATAAGAGTAAGAATATTTTAATATTTCTCTGCGTATTGTTCTCTACTGGTCATTGTAGTGTGTTTGAAAGATGCCTATCTATCCAATCTCGGACACGTGTTACACACGCCCAGGGGATAAACAGCAGGCATGAAACATTCATTTTAGACCTATAATGACTGACAACGAGCCGAGTTGTTTTTGTTGTGTCGAAAAAATAATTATTAATATTATATTAATAATAATAATACTATTATAATAGCCGTCACTTTTCAGCTGTCAAGCCAAACGCTCACTTCTAAACTACCAAGATGGGCAATAGAGTGGCAGCCAATTGATCTTCTCTCTTCCTTATAGTCTGCATGCTTTTAACATCTGTCGTGCCACAGAATGCAACAGATCCTCATTCCTTGCCGACAGCCGGTACACACATCCTGCCAAAACGCCTTCTCATGGCATGACTTGTGGTATCGGATTTCACTCTAGAAGGCAATCAATTGCAGCGTTTCCTGCCCTTAATGGTTCAGAAAACCTTATGTATGTATGTATGTACATGCTTATGTAAATGATCCTAACAAAACTATGGGTAGCTGAAATCTATATCGCTTTTGTGAGAGGAAATAAGGAAAACATTCGACTTGCATACATTCGATATATATGCAAAATTTGTGTTAAATTTTTCTTTAAAAGTAATAGCTGCCTGTTTGTTTTGAATATGCAGTTCTTATCTCTTATGTTTTTGCTCAGCTACTATAAATTCTCGTCTTCTTTGAAAATAGGTGTTTAAAAAAAACGCCATTTAAAGCAGTGCACATATAGCCATTTTACTAAGGTATAGGGAAGAAAGGGTCAGATTTGTAATATTTCAGGCTGTCAGGTGGTCTTATTTAAATAAAAATTATTTAATTAAATGCTCGAGAGTGTAGGGATATAATCGTATTAGTTTTGTGGTGGATATGTGTAACAACCAGAAGGAAGCGTTTCCGACCCGATAAAGAACATATATTATTGATCAGCATCAATGGCGTAGTCGATGGAGCCATGTCTTTCTGTCCGTCTGTCCGTCTCGAAGCGCCTAGATCTTAGAGACTATAAGAGCTAAAGCAACCAAAGTTTGTATCCAGACTCCTGTGATATCACACTATTATAAGTGTATATCATATTTGTATATTACAATTTTCTTATATTATTACATATAATTATTATTGGTGTATTGACCTATAGTTTAAGTCGATATATTACAAATTTTAGAATGTGGTAAGCAACCGTTTCGCCTTCGCACTTTCCCCACAATGGATTTCCGATGCACAAGGGTCAATTTCTCCATTATTTTAGGCAGCTTTAACAAGTATTAAAGTGGATCGTATGCAGGACAGACTATAAAAATGGCAATTGTATCTCAGTTTAATAATACGTTCACAGAATTACCGAACAAACTTTCAGTGGACAAGACATTTGTGAATAACCTGATCTAAAGCTTTTATTGCGTCTTTGTGATGATAATCTCTTGTATCTAGTATCGCCCGTCATCTGTATCGGAAACTCGTTTGCAGTTTTTACTCGCATACTCTGCTCTGCACTGCAAACACATAAACACCAAAATTAAAAAAACTAGGATCTGACTGAAGGATTCAAAGACCCAGACACAATTGGATACCTCCACACACGCAGAAAGCGGCATGAGCTCGGTCCAATCCGCTGTCTGACAGCCTCAATTTGCTTCCTATGTAAAGGCAGCCAGGCTACTAAATCAGGCGTATACAATTTCTATATGCTTCTTTTTGTGGCACACATTTGTTTGCTTCTACCTATTGTTTCCTTTATGTTCTATTCGTCTCGTCATCCTCACCATTTGCCGCCTCTATGCGTCGCGTCGTTTGTCTGCTGCACTGCCGCCTGAATTTTGGGAAAGAATTTTAGAATGGTTTGAAGCAGATGTTTCTTTTTCGTAAATCGGCTTTTATCTTTCTCATTTTGGGATCTCAAAGGCTGGCACTGATGCGATCTGTGGTCTTTTGTGCATCGCCTGGAACGATTCTCCCATTTGGCTGTTCATAAAATTATCAGACAATATTTATTAGTATACATACATAAATACAGCTCTAGCTCTCGTTAGGGGTATGGATCTGTAAAGAAATCCTTTGTGACGAAGTCCTTATGACATACGTATGTATGTATATACATACATATATATATACATAAATGTACTATATGTTTCTGATGAGTAATGATGCTTGCAGCAGCAGCATTGCTGATACTTTTACCATCACACCAATAAAGGACAGTAGGCGGTCCAATTTTTTAAAGACAATAGAATATGCGTACAGACTTACATTTACCAATTCATAGCCTATGAGAGAGTTATCTATAATACTCAGTATTATCCAAGTATCTTAAACTTTATTGAAACCTATGGGATATTGTATTTGCAACATATGGTGTGTATAGTTTAATCAAGGTTTGAGGCAAATGAATATCAATATCCAGAGAAAAAGAAACGTTAACGAGAAACAAGCGAATGAAAAATCAATTTAATGCTTTCGAGGCAAGCAAACCATATGCACAAACTTCAGTTGGTTGTGTTGTTGTGTTAGGCCAGAAATATTATATTTCCCACTCCCACTCTGAGATTAACCTTCGATCCCAATGCGAACGGAACAAACATAGTGAATATCTATTTTTGACTTGGTGTATAATATATACATATATGTGCATTTACTATACATGAATATGAAGTTCACCGTTAAAAGACATAACCAAAATTTCGTGATTTATTCGTATTGCTACTTATGCATATGTGTACATACATATGTATGTATGTACATATGTATTTGAATTTAATGTGTGGATGCTCTGCATATTAAACAACTTTTAAAAATTAGTTCCTAGTTTTATTTCCTGTGGAGCTAAAACTAGAATAATCGCCAAAATTAATTTCTGACTGAGATTTGCTAGCATTTGCCAAAGTGTAACTTTAAACTTGTGCGGGACGTCTGCCTAACTCTCTGGAACAGCCTTATGTGGGCTTCAAACATCTTGCAAAAATCGAATTCGCCTCTTTATAAGTTCACAAAACCCATCGGGGTTGTGTTTTCTCACTTACCTACAGGACAGGGATGTTAGATTGGCCCTCAAGAAACACATTGAAAAATTTTACCTAGAATTTGTTCTCGATACAAATGATCTTGTTCAGTAGAGCCATAAGTTGTCAAGAAAGATAACAAATCATGGTTTTGTTTGAATAAAACATTTCTTTCGTTGTCTTTGTTTTCTGTGCATTACTACGCAGACGTATCTATTTTGATGTTACTTATAAGACCTTTATAACATCTGCAGCACTAAATCTGCTCCGGAAGCAATGGCTAGTGAGAGAGAGAGAGCAGACTCATCTTCCTCCTCTGGGTACAGTGGCGAGGGTGAGTATGAGGGTGTATCTGTGTATCTGTGTACATATGTATGTACACTCGTACAGCTGCAGTGAGATGCATCCATTTCAAGTCACCAGCGCAGAAGCCGATGTCGGTGGTAGTGGTGATGTTGGTGGTTGGAAATTTGAAGCACAATACCGACGCCCATGAAGTCAACGCACAGTGGGTGAAACGGCCATTCTAGCTTATAGAAATTTTCGACCTTCGAATTAATTTTTGTTTTGTATATTATCCAAAAATATATAGACTTGGCTGGTCTAAAACTATTATCAGTTGCTAATTGGTTTCAATCTGATTATAAAATAGTAAAAGACCGTTTTTTTTATGAACATTTTTTTTAGTTTTACGTTATCAAAACGTTTACTTTATGTTTATATTTATTTATATTCCAGGAAATAAACATTTTAAAATTGTTTTAGGATCTGGATCCAAAAAGAATATGATTCTGATTAATATTTTATATATTGTTAGTAGTTTTATTTAAAAGTAAAAAAAAAAATGCATACAAAATATAATTTTAATTCACATAGGAGAAAGCAGGTGGACGATATCTTTTTTACTTTTGACGATATTAGTGTTTGTAAGATAGATTGACCGTTTCGCCCACTGTGCGTCGGCAAGCAGGAGAAGTTGAAAAACCAGAAGTAAAAGAAGCCGTAGACACAACAGAAACGGCCAAATACAAAATACAAATCAGGCCACAATCAATCGGAACGTGGACCGAGATGGTTCGTGCGGTGTTCGTGCAGTAGTTTAACTGCCTTTTCGATGGTGAATAATATGAAAGAGGCTAGACTCTTGCGTTTAATTTGCCCGTGTAGCGAATCGGGGTATCAATAGTGAGTGGTGTGAGCTCTCTGAATGAGCTGAGTGAAAATTTTTGAAAATAAGGAATTGATTAGCTTTTTCATAGTTTGGATTATTCTGACCAAAGTGAAATAAAAGCGAAAGGCTTTATAAGTTATTGTCCAATTCCTGTTTCGACAATCTTCAATTTTTGTGATGGCATCGACATCTACGCCATCAACTACAGTTGTTTTTGAAAACGGCACAATGCTGGGCTCAATGAGTGAGCACTCTAATGCAAAGTTGCAGTTCCTGGGCAATCAGTCACACTTTGTTGTACCGGAAATAGTAATCAGCTACAGTCAGAGCAGCAATAGCGTCTATAACAATCGAGCTACAACATCTTTGTCGAGCTCCAGCGCACTTAACAGCGTTAGTCCAACCATTAACGGGAACGAATCGTCTGAGGAGCATACGTCGCTTCTGGAAACCCTACAAAGAGAACGAGAGGAAGAGTCTGAATTTGAACAATTCGTATTGAACCGTACCACTTCAGAGAGCAACATACTAGAGTCCAGCACCTGCAGTGAATTGCAGATCCCAACTTCGCTGTGCGTTCCAGCAGCATCCTTATCGCTCCAAACTCGGGCTCTGGACATGCTTAACACGAGCGCCTGTTCGCGGTCCGACTCAGAGCCCAGGCAAGGCAAGCGCATGCGGCTAAGGGCGGACAAGGCCAAGATCAAGTGCTCCACTAACGCACTCGGCTCTCCCACGCCCACAGTGCCGTCTGTGGCAGAAGGATATCCTCCACAATACACAGCAATTTTTCTGGACCGCCACCATGGAAACAGTGCCGTCCCAGCGAACCCACAGTTGACGGGCCCAGTAATTTCATCGCCGTTTTTAACTGGCAATCCGGTGCAAGGGACAGGATCCGACGCGGCCAACTTTTTAGAATACCATCAATATCATCAATGTCAGCAGCGCCCGGGAATGGGTAATGTGGCACTCGGCCATCTACATCAGCATCATCAGCTGCATCACCCGCGAAGGTAACTCAAGCAGACAGAAAACTGGCTAAGCCAAATCCGAATCAAATCCGATCCTATTAGTTAAATTTATTTATATTCATGATAAACTGCAACCATCTGGGTGTCTAATGTACTCTAAAACTAGTTTATGCGAAAGACTTTGTTTCAATTTCAATATTCAATTTAATTTATGTATATGTATTATTAAGCTTGAATCAACCGATTCCTTTTTCTTCAGTTCCAAAATGTACCATTATGGTATTCTTAGTGGTTGTTATTTGACACCGCCAAAAGCGAGACGCGGAAGTTCATCAATAGTCAGTTCGAGTTTCACATTGTGGTTGTGTCGGTCAACGCTGGATAATGTAACCAGCTGGCTAATGTGCACATGTCTATACGAGTATGTACATATGTGTGTGTGTATGTTCACATCATTATTCTGATAAAGCATTCAATGCCTTGACTATATTCTTTTATTCAAAGCTACGACCATTTCCTCCGGTAGCCAACACGTGTGCAATTGCAGTAGCCCCCTTAACCATTGCACGTAGGCAGCACATACACACTACATCCTAAGGGCTAACATTTCTAAAAAATCTACTGAGATAGTGTTCCATTTACAACAAACAATAAAGGAATGAAAATTTTCCTTTAGCCAACGCCGAGTAAGGATTCGGTATCGCGAGCATAGCTACTCAACAAATAAAATCCCTGCTTCTGAACGTCATTGTTCTTTGCGAATTTTAAACTTGATTGTCATTTTTTGGCTCAAGTTAAGCTGAGAATAATATGCCTAATTATTCCCCCTTTCAATTCAGTGTTCGTTTAGATATGAGTACATATTTTCAGAGTACATATCCATATACTTCCCTTTTACAAATTCAACATGTGGGTAAATCATCATCGTGCAATCTAAAATCTAAATGTGTAAGTATCACACGCAAAATGGAACCTTTTGAGTCTACAGCAGATTTGAGTTTCCAAACAACTGTTTTGGAGCAGACAGCAGACAGGTGCAACGCGCCAGATTTAACAATATGGGCCCATGCCCAGCACGTTATCAAGTTGAACGTGTGTGCGTGTAGGATTTCAGAAACTAACAATAGGAATCGATGTTACAAAGATACACTTATGTAGCGAAGGACCGGCAGCTATCTACCTGCCAAGGGCTAGTTAGATTGGATAAATTTAGGTCGCATCAGGTAGATTTCGAGCTCCTTGACATAAAACTAATGTGTGTACTCGCTCTTTGCAGAAGTCTCTTTGAAGTGGCTGTACCGCTGGCCGGTAGCAGTGTGGAAGCCAGCAACAATTTGGGCAGTACAAACATCAACATGTCTAGAGCAGCTGTATCCTCGGGAAATCTGGCTGTGAGCTGTTTTCGAAAGTGGTTCGCACGTCCTTCGCTGCCTTTCGTAATAGGGATATTTGCACTTGGTGGCGTGGCATGCACGCTTGGCGGCATAGTGCTTGGCAGCACGGGCCTGATAGAGCATTCGACACAGTATCTAAGTGCTGCTCTCTTAATGATCGGCATTGGGGTCTCGCTGTTGGTGATATCGGGCGCCATTTGGCGTCTGAGCCTTCCCGATGACGTTGATGACTGTCCCTGCTTTCGACGAATGGAAACCTGTCGCAACTGCAACAGCCCACACTGCAACAACCGCCTTCTTCCCGGAAGCTATTTGTATCCAGAGTTCCAGCATCGGCAACCGCCGCCTTCATATCTAACATCGCTAAACGAGTACGCATTCATCTATCATCCCAGTGCGCATCCGGCGGCGGCAGCAGCCGCAGCAGCTTATGCTACATTAGGATTGAACACTCCTCCGCCGCTATATCGTTCGACCTACTCCCTCAAGTAAGAATTAGCATTTCCTTCCCATCGAAATCGGTCACGAAATTACCAAAATGAACCCTTCATTTCAGCACTTCGGCATCGATGGGTACGTCAACAGTATTACAGTTGCCGCGAACGAGCGAGCACCCATCTGAGGATCATCACCCGGTTTTGCTCATTCGAGAGGCTACCAGTCAGACATCCTTCAAAGAGGTAGAGATCGAGGACATGCGTGAGGCTGGACCTCTAATGCGTGGGAGAGAAATGCAAACGCTTTATAAGGAAGCTGAGCTTGACTAGGGGGTGCGTGCTCCCGAGACCAAATGCGTTTCAGGAATTATTCAATGATCTTCTGATTTGACTGACTGATTTTCAACATACATGCATAAATCCTTGTTCATTTTTACATACATATGTACATTCATGCTACTATATGTAAGAGTCAACGGAATCTTTCAAGAACATTTCTGATATTGTACAAATGTTGTAAAAAACACGTTCATATTTTTGTCCATACAACTAATTACATAATCTTTATTCTCGAAACTCTAATTTTAAGCAGCGTGAAAGCCAATGAATAAGGTATAAGTACATCTTTATATTTTTTCTTGTGGTTCGTTGATAATATCAAATGATATAATGCCAAATTCAAATCTTAATAAACATATGAATATTAAGCAGTAAATAAAATATTATCAATTTACGAGGTTTCTCTAGCTGCTAAGGTCTCATAAGGGGAGACTCCAGCTCTAAACACTTTAAGTAATATTTTAAAGAAAGAACGACAACGGATATTAATACATTTTTTTGGTTAAAGACACATGCATAGATTAAATATCATCTAAGACACAAACCTTCAAAAAGCTTTTCTGGTTTGCAAGTTTTTCAATGAAGAATATTGGATATCCGGTTTTGATACTTAATTTAAGCAATTTTGGATTATATCATTCTCAATCATCTCTCAACAAACAAATATTTATATACCACTTCCAATATAAAAAGGTGTGCCATTCCACGAATGTTTAGTGATTGTTTCAGATATTTTTTCCATTTTTTGTGTGCAACGCAGAGAAGGAAACGTTTTCGACCCCATAATGTATATATTTTCTTGATCAGCATCAATAGCCGATGAGCGCCTAGTTTTTTTCAGACTCATGTAAGTGATAATGAACACTGCTACAAGTGTATTTCAAAATTTCGCGCTGCCTCCTTCGCACCCCACAAAGGACGAAAAACTGTGGTAGCAACAATTTTGAAGATACGAGAAAACTATAAACGCAGTATCCTAGAGAATAACTATATCTATAAGATTGACGAATCGGATCATTATTATAGCCAGAATGAAGAAATTAATTTTCAGTTGGTTCCCCCAACTCTTCCAGCGCTGTATTACTATTTATTCTCTTTCTCCCATACATACTTATATACTGACTGAGTACAGGTATAAGAGTAGAGTCGCTGCCACAGAATCGACTCACAACGTTCCTTCTCGTTTTGTAATGTTTATATCGTATAACTTCTGGCCAAGCCTCATGAAAATCCATATATAGTACAATTTGAAAAGCGGTTTGATATAACATTCGATCATATTCCATATTCCATTCCATTTTAATGATTTCGTATTTCTTCGTAATTTTATAGTTTCATTTATTGCCTCAAGATATAAAAATGTAAGCCAAGCAAAAAATGCTTCAATGACTTTAAAGTTTTGTTTTTTATACTTTTCGTTATTTGTCAGTCTAGTTCTGTTAGAATTATATTGGGTGTGATCGACTTTAAGCGTCTTACTATATTGTTTGAGGAGTTGATTCAAAGGGTAAGTAAAACCACTAGCCTATTAATTTAGTCTTAGTTTTTTATCAGAGGTTACTCATAGGAGTGAGCTAAAGCATATGTTTTGCGAGCGCCTTTGGAAAAGTCAAGTCCTTTTCTTTCGTTGAATTGGTGTTACCTGCGCGGATAAGTAGCCAGCCGACAGTTCTGACACTCCAAAATAGACTTCAAAACTCAAAAGAAACTGCCTGGTGCACATAACAAGTTTTCACTACTTGTCACGGTGGCTGAAATATTAAGTTTTGTTTAGGAAGCACCTTGAAAAATCAAAAATTATGGAGTAGTGGAACAGATTGAACAGATGACAAATATTTTCTTAAATAGTATGAAATGCGTTTTCTCAGCACCTTTAAGTCCAACAAATTTTACGAGCGTTCACCATTATCGTAGGCGCTTTTTACATGGCGGTGGATATTGCTCTACCCCTAGACCTTGACCATTGGACAACCAGAAAAAAGATTGAAATAAGATGTTTTACAATTAAAAACTTATTATTAAGGTTTATTTCGTTTTAACTTTTCTCGACATATTGTTTTGTAGACTTTGGTTTCAATTTTCCATGATCAAATTTCTTCTAGGCTATTGGAAAAGTCATTTTCGGTCATTATAAATAAAGTAAATATTTACAAGGTAATTTCTCCTGTCAATATAAGGAATAGAAAGCTAAAAGTTGTTAATTTCGAGCCTTTTTGGACGCAAATCACAACAAAACCCTGTTAAGCTGAATGTTTAAACATTAAACTGATATACGGCTAATCATTTATCTAAGGGTGGGATTTAGTTACATCTTCTTCGATTTTGTTTTGCCTGTTGTAGACGCGACAGTCGAAGGTACGTGTAGACTGCGCAGCTTCTCAGAACGGAAGTCAAGGCGCTTGATTAACAAGACGAGCCCATACAAGGCAAGAAGATAAACGGCCACCACATCTAGTAGATAATATTGAGACCAGCTGAGGAAAGTGATGGAAAAGTTTTTAATAATTTGGATAAAGGGGAAGGGGCATATGCATGTATATTAACTCACTTCATATTTCGTGCTGGAGCTTGAAGATGATAAGCGCCGTTGTGGCGAAGCACATACTCCGTCCAGTAAATGGCAGTCTCCAGGGCTGTCGAGCGCTGATCAAGCAGGAGGTTCTGACGATATCTGGCAGCATTCCTATACCGTGAATCGTGTATAACTTTCATAATGGCCTTGTAGAGCTGATTAGTCGATAGTGTCTCCAGGTCCAACTTAATGGCGTAGCCATCGGCCTCAGCCTTGGCGGAGTTTACATCATGGTCACAAAAAACAGGCATTGTTACCACGGGCACTCCATGATAGACTGTTTCAAACATGCTCAATAAGCCACCATGAGTGACAAAGGCGCGCAGCTTTGTATGGCCCAAAATGTCCTGCTGGGGCAACCATCGTGATAGTTTCACATTTGATGTCAGGTCCTGCATATCTGCTGAGCTGCCTTCGTATTTCCATAGCACATGATAGGGGAGGCGGGCAAAAGTCTTGACTAGCATTCGACGTAACGACTCTGGCATATTGGCAGCCTTTACCGAGGACCCCATCGACACGTAAATGAAGCCTGACGCACCGGAGGCCCCAATGAAGTCCTCCAAGTCCTTGGGAAGTTTTTTAGCTGGCTTACAATGTATGCAAGCAACCTCTGCCACATTAGGATTGAAAGCTCTGGGATATGACACCACTGCATGGCCATTCTGCAGTATAAAGCTTACATTGCGTGACATCTCATAAGGATGTGGCATGTGGGTGCCCAAATGTTCACGCAGGACGTGATGCGTTCTCCGCATAACATACTGTAGATAAATGGAGAATAGAAGGACATTGTATAGCCGTGCGCAGATTTTACCTACCATGTGCATTAGGTTTTGTCCGATCTGCATTCCCGTATTGATTGCCCGCTCGTATAGGCTCATGGTGTCCGTAAAGCGAGAGAAAAAATTTGGTGTTATGGCATAGCTTATGGGGTTCCCCGCTACGGAGAGACTTCCAGTATAGAAGCCTACTGTATTTATGTACATGAATGGAATTTTGTATTGGTGTACCAGACCCAGCACACACTCGGGAAAAGCTCCGTCCAATATGGCTAGATCAAAGCTACGGTTCGCCAAATCTTTGGTCTCAGCATCGCCAAGCATTGCATCACACGACTGTTGAAGAAGAAGTTCAAATACAAATTTAATCTACTCTAGTGACGGTTTTTTTTTATCAATTTCATCTCAAATGTATGAAAGTTATTTAAAAAGCTTTTTTTAGCCTTTTATCACAGAGAAATAATCACGATTACATATCTTACTGTTACTTAGGGAAAGCAACTAATACTATGGGCTAATGAAACATTTAACTATAGTAGGATTACTTGGGTAATCAACATGAGACAGAGCGGCATCTAAGACTAGCAAGATTCAGCAAACGGATGATACTACTTCGGTACATATCGGAGCGTGTCCTTCTATGGCCTCCTGTTGGGCAAGTCTGCGGTGGGATATGCTCCTTAGATGCATCTTTGCCAGGACTTTTGGGTGACTTTTCAGCAGTCGAGGGCTAGCTGTGTCTATGATGCCACCGACAATCTCCAGCGCTACCTCAAGCTGCTTGAAAATTGGGCCTGCCGTTGGAATATCTCAATAGACACGCAAGACACTAGTACTGCACGGCGAGCTTGTGGAGGAGCGCAAGAATCACATATATCTCGGCGTCATACTGGACACACGACTGACTTTTGCTGGCCACATCCAAAGCGTAAGGAACAAACTGGAGAGCAACGCCAAGAACATTTTCTGGCTTCTTAAGCACAGCAAGGTTCAGTTTGGAAATTAAGGTCCTGTTCTAAAAAGTGATCCTTTTCTGGCTTCTTAAGCACAGCAAGGTTCAGTTTGGAAATTAAGGTCCTGTTCTAAAAAGTGATCCTTGCCTCCGCTTGTAAATACGGCATACAAGTATTTGGTATTGCCGCCAAAAGAAACCTTGCAAGGATCATGACCTTCCAAAGCAAGTTTCAGCGCAAGATCTCTGGAGCGGAGTGGTTCATCCGAAAAATCAACATCGCCAAAGTAAAAGGGTAGACTACTACGATTTGTATACGATTTTTTTTATGTATGTAAAAACGTTTGTAATTAATATGGACAGTATTAATGGAAACCAAAACAAAGGCCAACTAAAGCAAGTCCATATTCTTCCCAATTTTTTGAACGCCTATCCAAATATATTTCAGAAATACCCGCGATCAGGTAAATAGACGGAATCAATGATCACATTCATCGAAACTTGCTTATGAGCGATGTGAAGCTGCCATTAGCTAAGAAATGTATCACAAGTACTTATCAGTAAAGTAGCGTACTTTTTTTGGGTAACATGTAACATGAAATCAGATCACCACCACCAGGCGATCATGAATGATGATCCGAACGCGTTTAGCGAATAGCAAGGTCTGTCCAAGTTTTTAAAGCACAGAGACTATTTTTATTAAGAATTGAACATCCCTTCTGTGAGTTGTACCTCCTGACCAAAAATATTTTTGCAAGATTATACACTTTACAGTTTGCTTACCTCAAAAGCATATCGAATACCATCCCACGGCTTTATAGGCATTTCTCCAGCCATTCTTGAGCCCAAAAGATCCCAATTTGTATAGTTCTGAATGTATTCAACCAGGCCAGCTGGTGTCACCTCCTGAAGGCCTTCGATATGAAAATCTGCCGGGAACCCACTTAGGAAGGTAATATTATGTCCTCTGGAATCAAGAAAGGTTGTTGTTAGTGGAATATTCAAGTAAATATATGCGTTAAGTCGGTACGTCTAAATTAATTTAATTTGACTTTTTTGTTTTTCCGTAAATACTAAACCACTGGAAATGACAACCGAAATAGCCCATAGAAAAGTTTATATAACCTTTAAGTTCGGCGACCAATTTATCTATTTACATATATCTTTAAAACAGGCTGCTATCGTTTTTATGGAAGCTAAGACAGTGGTCCAATGTTGATCGAATCTACCACACGTTTAATACAAATTTAAAACATTTTTTTTGGCTATCTTTAGAAACAAAAAACTATGAGTTGACTCTGTGCGTTATAAACATAAAATACTACATATAAATATTCGATGTGAACTGTTTCGTGAGACACCTTATAGTATAACACGGAAACTGGAATCTCCAATAGATGGACATGGCTCGGTGTCCAATCCATCGATTTATCTTGTCTTCTATACACCTTTCTGCGTATTGGATATATTATATTGTTGTATTTATCATTATTCGTTAAAAAGGTCTGAAAAATTGCCATAATTCACTCTTGGACCTAGTTATCTAATGCCTGACAACATTTACTTGTAAACTGATGCGAATTTTCTACTTAAGATTCAGAGTCTCGCCTCATCGTAATAAATAATGCCAGTTCGAAAGAAACTCAAACAAAAGGGTAAAATACAATACAAATGTTCTCATTGACCCTGTCAAATGTTTTTCTTTCAGAACCAATATTGGCTAATGGAAATTGTTTTCTTTGATAGATGTAACTAAGAGGGGTTTTTTTTACTTCTTGATTTTGCAAATCGCCCTTAACTGTTAGAGTATAGTACCATTCATTAAGCTCTGTTTACAACAAAAATGAAAACAATAGCGATAACTGTTATTTTTTAATTGTAAAGCTCTACGAAATATGTGAACTTTTTTTGGGTCACTTGATTAAGAACAGCATCTATGGCAGGCACAATTTTAAAGATACGATAAAACTAACGCAATATCGTAGAGAATGGCCATATCTACCAGACTGCCGAATCTGAATCAGATCGGATCATAATTATAGCCAGAATGAAGAAATTCATTTTCAATTGCTTCCCCTGCCCCCTCCAGCAAACGACAACACAACTTATTTTCCTTCTCGCTCTCACACTCTGCCGCATTCAGTGCGCGAGCAACCCCTAGCGGATGATTCTAAAATTCTAAAAGCCATAGGCTCAAAAATGTAAATACTGACTGAGTACGGGTATAAGTAGAGTCGCGTCTTTAGAAGCGACTCACACGTTCCTTCTCGTTTTTTTTATTTTTATTACTATTGATGAGAGTAAAAATATAAAAAATAATTTCAGATTAAAATATGAATAATGCAAATAATTATTCCCAACAACCAATTTTAGATCCGCCGTCTCTTCATAGATTTGAATGAGCAATACTTAAACGACGCCGAATTAATGCACCTATACACAAAAGTCAAAATTAAAAAAAACGAGAAGGAACGTGTGAGTCGCTTCTAAAGACGCGACTCTACTTATACCCGTACTCAGTCAGTATTTACTACATATATTATGTATATTCTACATCTAACATGTATATTCTACGTGTACCATTTTGATTCTACATCTCCTCCGCTAGGGATTGCGCGCGCACTGAACGCGGCAGAGTGTGCGAGCGAGAAAGAGAATGAATAGCGTGTCTCTGGGTGGGAGGCGGGGGAAGCAACTGAAAATTAATTTTTTCATTCTGGCTATAATTATGATCCGATTTGATTCAGATTCGGCAGTCTGGTAGATATGGCCACTCTCTACGATACTACGTTAGTTTTATCGTATCTTTAAAATTGTGCCTGCCACAGATTTTCGTCCTTTGTGTGGGCGGAAGGGGGCGGGGCGAAATTTTGAAATACACTTGTAGCAGTGTGATATCACATGAGTCTGGAAACCAAATTTGGTTGCCCTAGCTCTTATAGTCTCTGAGATCTATGCGCTCATCAAGACAGACAGACAGACAGACAGACGGACAGACAGACATGGCTATATCGACTCGGCTATTGATGCTGATCAAGAATATATATACTTTATGGGGTCGGAAACGTTTCCTTCTCTGCGTTACAGACATCCACTTTTACCACAAATCTAATATACCCGTTAACCCGTTTTTTGAGTACGGGTATAAAAATTGTCCACAAATTACCTAGTCTATTATCATCAAGCAACAAAAATTTTAAAAACATATTAATTATTTTGAAGTTATGACTTTTATTCCATTAGATTGGTTGTTTCCCAGTTGGAGACGGACAGACAGACAGAAGAGACTTTGATGCTGGTCAAGCATATTTACATATACTTTATGGGGCGGTAGTGCATTTAAAAATAACGGTAATCTTTTTTGTCTTCATTTTTGGTGTAAAAAAAACTTAATGAATGGTACTTTGCTGGAAAAATAGAATCTCGGCTCTAGCAGTTATGAGATTTGGAAAGTACAAAAAAACCTCGTTCTTAATCAAGTGAACGTATACCAAATATTTATCCAACCGACATCTTCATTAGTCATCGCTTTCAACCCTGAACTTAATGCGATTTTTGCACAGTTGAAAAGTGTGGAGAGTGTGAAATCTATTAAGAACACGCACCTGGCTATTAATCCCTTGGCCAGTTCCCAAAATGGTATCTTGTGTGATTTTGTTCCACCTGTAATGATTTTTATCGATTAATGCGTCTTCAAACTTAAAGTTTATTTATTTGTTATGAATACAAAATAATTTATATATTATTAAAATGGTCCTACAGGTACATACATAAGCAGTTTATTTAATTGAAACGCTTACCTTGTGTAGCCATTAGAATGTCCGCCGCCAGTGTGCAGCTGGTACAAAGGATCAACAACAATCCGACAGTTCGATGCATGTTGCTGCAAGGTAAACAAAAATTTGGTCAGCTTTGCTAACTTATACTAGTCGTAGAACTTATAACCGTTTTCCGCGACTTCAGATCAGTATTTGGTTTGCAACCACGCACGTTCCCAGACTTTATAGATTTGATACGAGGCAGGTTCATGCGCGTGATGTTTAAGTCACTTAATCGAGCGTTTAGTACACGACCGAAAATTTTATAATGTACATATAATTGTTGTGCTCTCACTGCTAAAAGGAATTTTTTAACTAATGAGCGCTTACGCACAGTGTCAGCAAAAAGTCAACAGGCATTAAACTAGAATTCCACTTAACTATACACACAGGGTAGACTTCGGCTCGACCTTAAGGGACAATGGTCTAAATCGAATGCCCTTCACCAACATATGTACATTGTACTATTATAATTGGTTACAACTTTTGACTTTGGAAAAAGGGGCACAGCGAAAAGCGCATGACTACAAATCTCATTTCTCAAAAGCGTTGAGGAATACCATAATCCTTTAATTCGAAACATCACAGAAAACAAGAGGAACGAAAGCTTTTCATTCCCTTGATGATAGTTAATAATTTTTTAAATATCTGCATTTAATAGACACTTCTTTAGTACGAGTATCAACAAACCAAAAAATGCTCACTCCAGTTACTCAAACTTATTTTTCTACTCAAGCTTTATGATAAGGATATTAATGCGGTTTTGGTTATTTAAGGCTGATTTACATCTGTATTTTTCTCATTTTGTTTTCGATCAGCATCAAAAGCCGCATCGATATAGACATGTATACCTCTCCGTCGTTCTGTCCGTTTTATTTAACGCCTAGTTTTCAGGTACTATAAAAGCTAGAGCTACATTAATTTTGTGATATAACATGCGACCTTAAAGGTCGAAAATATGTGGCATCCACAATAGTTAGAAGAAACAAAAGAACGTAGAATCATAGAGAATGATCAATTCGCATTATTATTATTCCCAACATAAAGAAAATTATTTCCTCTGCCCTTTAAGCACTCGCCTACTGTCGCTCTCCCACTCTTCCTCGTCCAGTGTGCGCCGACTTACGAGGTAGATATATCGGCTGGATAATACTTCGTTGGTGTGAAGAGATAGAGAGATTAATCATCCGGAAAATATCATAACTTTCGAATCAAATATACGTTCATATACATATGAACATATACATATATTACTCGAAAACAATACATTAAGAATACAATGATTAAGTGTTGGGTATAAGAAACAATCTTCTATGCATAGCAACAATCCTCTCTCTATCGTTTAAATCTAATAAGCGGAAGTAGTATTTAATATTCATGGTAAAATCTTTTGAGTACTGTATAAATATATTGGTTGTTACAACAGCAAAATAGCATCATGACATTTTATATTTAATGTAAACGGATTGAAAATGAACGTTCAACGTTGCATGTATTGTAATCATTGAGCTCAAGGCAAGGCCAGGACTGCCAAAAGTGTTAGAAACTACATAGTCCAAAAATGTTTCTGCCTTGCAATTAATTTGTTGTCTTTGTTGAGCAAGTTGCAAAATTATATAGCTTACTTTTGCTGTTTGCGGCGGAATCTGTTACTATTACACACTATTACACTATTACTATTACACAAATCAAGAGAATCAATTCTTTCGCAATATTACGAATATTTCAGCAATATGCATATTATGATGCCATACCCAAAGTTCATACAAAATTGAAGTAGGTGAGTTTTCATTGCGGCCAAAATGCATCTGACAAGCGATGAATTGTATATTTATAGAATGCACGTGGATAATGGAAAAAGGGCATACAAGCTTAGTTAGATGCCATATACTTCGTTCAATTTCCTTTGTAGTTTGTGAATAAAAACCGATATATTACTTTCGTAATTAAAGTTTTGACTGAAAGAACGGGTATGTCTTGCGGGGACAAATGTGCAGATGAAACATATGAAAGGTGAAGCACTATTAGTTGAGATAAATAGCTGCGGAACGATTCTTGTACACAAGAACAACATAACCAAGTTACCATAACCAACAAAGTTTATATACCCTTGAAGTTAGACGACCAATAAATGTATGGTTACTATTATTGTAAATACATACATACATACATATATACTATATCATGTGTTGGAAAAAAATGTTGCTGCATAGTGTAACTGCCTGATGAGATTTACGATCACCAGTTTATGCGCGACACGTTCAATCCCATAGTTCGCATAGTTTGTGGCCAGTAATCGCGATAGTGCAGTTGGCTGTTCGGGCAAAGTGACTATACATACGTAGTACGTGCGTGTCATCAAATTCGATGTCGTAACGTAAGCACGGTTATCTCTTTTATGCGTATGCACGACAGCCGAAAAACCCAAACCGTTTTGCAGAAGCAGAATGCGTAACGAAAACAAAAGGGATAAAAGCGTTTTGAGTTTTGCTTTTAATTGGTTACGGTATCAGACGAGGCGTCAGCCGGTGCTTATATACAAGTACTTACTATGTATGCATGCACATATGTAAGTGTAGGTTAAATCAATAAAAAAAATCATAATTAATTAAATGGTATGCGGCTTTCACTTTCTGCTGTGGGTAGTACAAGTATTTGCGTATCGAAGTCAAGCTAGCCTCTGCCTCTGTACCGAACTTATAGAAGCCGATGTTATTCCAGCAGTATTTTTCAGAGCTTTATTTATTTTTAAAGAGTGGGGTCCAGGAGGAGCACAACTAAGTGCATGCGCGCTCAGGCTTTCGAGCACAACGGGGCTGGGGCATATTTATACTCGTACTTGCGCTGTGTTTCACTGAAAATGCAACCAGTTGCAGCTGGCTGTAGGCAACTGGTGGCAAGATCATTATTACGTGTTTCGTGATTATCATTCAGCAGTGCAGTATCAGGTTGAATGCGCTCAAAGAAAACGAAAGTGCAGGCGTTTCAGGCGGCGTTCAGAAAAACCCCATCGACGACAACACAACGACGACGCATACACACATACATATCTAGACGTGGCACGCCTCATTTCGCTACAGTCACCATACGCCACATATGGTACAATCAAAGCTCTTTTTTAACAACATCCAAAATTGGCCGAAAAGCATGAGGCAAGGCCTCTCAGATAGATGTAAAAATCTCCACCTGCAATGTATTTTTAACGGTGTTTACAATGTACTGTGCTTCTGGCCCAGCGCAGAATGAAGGAGTTCAGTGAAAGTCAAACCCAGTAAGCATCAAAAACGAACTAAGGGAACTCAATCTCTTGGTTTCCAGCATTCGCTACTGGAAAGAAAGAAAAAAGTATTCACCTTGGGTTTTGGCATGACCGTTATTTATGGCCAATGTTTTTGGGACAGTTGTTTTCATTTACTGCGGCGATGCTCTCATAGGGCCATTGTTGTTTGGCTCGGCTTTACATCATAGCCAAAAGACAAACAGAGATGAGCTTTTTTTTTTAAACCGTTAAGATGCAAAAATATTTTGACGTTGCTACACTAAATATTTCGCTAAGTTATGTGCCTGTTTTAGGCCAATTACCCTATGCCTGGCCTTACACCTTTGCCAAGTGTCGTATGGAACCCAGTTTCTTATGTTTTTGAGTCTGCTCTGCTCTTTTTTTGTTGTGGCATGTGTCAGGCCGACGACGAATAGCAAATTGCTTAAGTGCTTCTGCCAAAAATTAGACAACCGTACAGCACAGTGGAGGTTTTTGAGAGTAGCTCAACGACTTTGCACAATTAGCTAATACAACTGTCACTTTTATATACGCAGCAAAATAATGATTAATTTGATAAACTTAAAAAAACTGAAACATCAATTGGAAGATTTGCTTCGAGTCATTGTGTCTACAAATTCTGAGGCCATTGTCAAAACAATTTGGGATCATAGGGGCTTAACCATTTAAAAACGACATGGTTTTCTCGAAATTTCTCGCAATTTCGTTAATTTTATTTTGTTTGTCTGGGACATTTGATTTTAAAAACGCACCTAATAAACAATTTTGGGATGACACACAGCAAATGACAACTCCGGCAAGAAACACAAAATAAATCCCAACGACTCTGATCAGCCTTGACCAGATTTAACAAAACGTTTAACATTAATAAAAAGATTGCAGCTATGACGCACATCAAAAGTTATATATATGTATGTATGTGTGACCAGATTGTTAATTTCATTATGTAATTTATTTAATTTTGTTGTCGAGAGTCAAACCGCTCCACATTTCATATTAATTATAACTCACAAAGTGATGAGCACAACATGGTCGTGTCTTGAGTTTTCTGTTTTGCCTGCTTTAATAATTTGAGTAATTTTCAGGATTTTTTTTGTTTTTATTTTTGTTTTGACCTTGGGTTACTGCAAACAACCCTAGCCACATTGTTTAAGGCTCTTCAATATATCCTCACTATTTTAACAAAATCTTCACTATATAAATGCGTATAGTTCCAACATATTTGGAAAAATGCTGAAATCCAACCGAACTGGTTATCAGTTATTCTCACAACTCGTTCATCTTTCTGAACTTCAATTAAGTTTGCGTTTGTTTCATAAGCGTTGAGCTCTGACTGACCCACAAGAATTTCCAGTCGAAGACTGGCTATTTACGTATGTATATTTTATAGTTGTTTCACATAATAGGGGGGATATTTCGGATATTTACTTATACAGAAAACTCGTTTGTTTCAGCAAAAAATTGCAAAAAGTTGTTGATATACTCGTTGCTTAACTTACTGTTACAGTACCATATGCAACTCATACCTAATGCAACTACGTGGTCTTAGCTTTGTAAATCTGAGCACTTGGATTCGCTTTGGTTTGGCGATTTATTCAAATTGCTTGAGATTGATTTTGCACAGTCGCATGTTAAATATTGTTTATATTGTGCAGCACTTTTAACCTTCCATGCATATGCATTAACTTGGATTCGAGATGTGTTTTTCTAGGGCAGAGGCACGGGCTTTTTTTGGTATTGTTGTTGCTGAGATCGCTTTGTGCGCGGCACTCTTAAAGCATATGCACACTTTCACCAATGCAGACGTATTATTTAATATCCGATTTTGATACAGTGATAATAAAAATGGAACATATTCCCCAATTCGAGCTTCGAAGTCGTGGTTGCCAGCCACCAGAAGGGGGCAGAGGGGAAACGGCGCAGAGCCACAATAAGCACTTGCCCCTTTGGGGTAGTAAGTATGACTTCTGCTACCGACGCGTCGTCGCTAACCAATTGAACTTATTGGCCAATTGACACTTTGGTCGAACAAAACAAAACGAAAACCACAAGACTTTTCACTTTTCTTCGGAGCTTGAGCTCGGGGCCTTTACGAAGTTTCTCGGCGGGTTAACTGAAACAAACTGAAACAACTGATCGTTGGGCTTGCTTTTTGGCGCTGCTTAACGTAACGCCAGAGACTGGTGTTACAACAATATGTGCATACGAATATAACGCTAAGTCGACGATTGGGATCGGTTTCGGTTACGTTTGAGTTATTTTGGTCGGCACTGCATTTGCTGCGTGGTATTTTTTAGTGTCATCCCTTCTTTAAACGAAACGGGCTCTAGATCTTAGATCTTATCAATTTCAAAGACGCATAAATAGTTTATGATTACTCGAACACTGCCCAGACTGAACGCTTGTATTTTATTCTTATATGATATATGTATGTATGTGAGGGAGAGGTACTAGTTATGGACACATATAGTTTTGTTTTTGCTTTAAAGCTTTTGACCAACTGAATATTATCAAAGACTATACAATACCAAGATGTTGCATGAGGAACAAATGCCCATTCAATTTTCGTTTGACGCTTAATGGTACGGGCGCGCGGTGCTTGTACTTAAATTCTCTTTTAGACTAGTCTTCTACTCGTTTTCGGCAATGCCTCGGCCAGCGCTGAAGAGTTTGGCGCGGCACAGACTCAGAATAAAAGAGGCTGCACAAGTCAAAAAATTTGTATGACCGCTTTGGATTTTGAAATTCCCAATAATTTAATTTTAAAGATAATTTTAGTTTAGGAGATATAAGCATTCAAAGTTGAACAAAGTTGTAAACAAATGTATTGAACTCTTATTCACTTTATAATTAAGCAAGCTGTGCCCACTGTGCGAGTCTGCTGTGATGTCTCGAGCTCGCTCGGCTCGATTCTGACGAACAGACGAAGCCCTCGGGCGGCGGGTTCGCAGTCAGAGACGAGTCATAGCATTTGATATTAGCAAACATACGTACATATGTTTTCCAATTAAAAGCTAGAGGTCTTACGTAATTGCCAGTGCTGGAACTAAATTGATTCCTTTATACAGAAAAATTGTATCAAGGATTTAGTGAATTCAACCTCGCGAACCGATCCGAACGCGAATATGCAGGAAAGATAAGTGTTAGACTAATATTAGAAATTAGAAAATTAGATCTAAACACAACCAAAAGAGCACACAAAGTTACCAAAGAATAATACTAATTACGGGAAAGGTATGTTAGTTTTAGTGATTTAAGAAGAGGAAGGGAATTGGTAGTGCATGTTAGCATGTTATATGATAGCGGGAATTTAGGCCTAAACGGTTGTAATGAATAAACACAAGAGAAGTGCTCTAAAATCGGGCGAACAAGCGAGATATAGAGAGTCTTCGTTATATAGGGGTTATCAAATTCCTTTGACCACCTCTTTATAAACCCAAGCACTCACATGTCCTTATTTAACATGGTAGAAATGTGTTCAGAAAACTATAACTTGGGGTCTAGTTTAACACCAAGATCATCAACCTTTAAAGATCAAAAGATAAACTCTAATAAATTTTTGGTTGTTGATCGTCGCCTTATAAGTCCGAGCTGAGCTGGAGATATAAGTGACTTGAAGAGATGTTCCAAGTGCGTAGTTAAAATCTTTTCAAACATTTTAGGAATAGCGGCTAACTTTGATATACCTCTATAATTATTTGCATCAGACTTGCTACCTTCATTGTTTACCGTCGAATTAAGAAATGATAGCTAGGATGGATGTGCGGACGTTCTACGCTTACTGTTTACGCGATAGGTAATTTTTATAGCATTGAGCGTTAAGAACGGAGAAATTGCTCGGTCAAATTGTTATATAGCGAGAAAGAGAAGAGGGAAAACCAACTTCTCGAAATTTTTTGTAAAGTCTTGATTGTACTTTTTTTAGACTGAGTAACTGCTTGGTAAACCAAGGAGGTTTCACATTCAGATAGCCTACCCGCCCGATCCAATACCGTGGGTCCAATATGGACCGACACTTCGAATGTAGAGTGGTACAAATCTTCAGGTACAGTGAGCGAAAGAGGTCGGGCTATCAGCGCTACGGTCGGATCCGAGACAAAGCACAGATTGCTTGAATCGACCCAAGGAAGGACGGTGCTAGGCTATTAGACTTGTTTACCGAAGACCAAACAGCACTTCGCAAGTTGAAATCACCAAGAAATATTATATGTTCTTTATCTGATAGCGTAGAAGAAACAGTTTTTTAAGCGGAAAGGTGATGTTCGTATATTAAGATATCCAATAAGGTGAAATATACAAGCAAAAGGTTTGACATTTATTGGAAACCCCTGAAAAATCCTCTTAATCGTCAAATAACGAGAAAATAAAAGTTTATTTATTTTAAGAGCCTTACTGGCATAAAGAACAACACAGATAACACCAAGACAATATAATAGTTCTTGTATTGTCTTTGGATCATCCACGATTTGAAGGCTTCTTTGGCGTTGCCGTTTGCATAGGACCAATGTCTTCCAAAAGTGATAGACAGCTCGTTGAAGATGCACAGTATTCTAAATGTTATTTATTTGTACTACATTACCATAAACAACGCTATTAAGTGTGCAGTTTAATACAGTTAAATACAACAAAAAAGGTTGTTCACAACCGGTATAGTATCATGACGAGAACACCCTGGGTTTGTTGTATTGAATGCGTGTGTTTGGACAAAATTTACACCTATTTTTTCGCAATTTTTAGGTTTTTTTCCCAATTTCTACACCATTGTAGATATTACGAAAACTGCGTAACGCCAAAATATATTTTCACAATATTCAGATCAGTGATGTTACTTGCTGACCAAGTTTATGTGAGGGTGATGTGACTAGATGTGACCCTAGGCCACTGTCCACAACAGGCAACTCTCCCTTACACACATATGTATGTATGTATGTATGTATGTTAAGCTGTTTTGGTTACCCGCCATAAATTGGAAAAGTTCCGCCAAGATTCAGTTTAAATTTTGACTCAATATAAAATCCATTGCAAGGAATATTTTCGCTGTGTACCAAAGTAAATAATAAATAATAAATAGGCGGATGACTAGGATGTCATTACTAAAATATAGTCTTAGCTCAGAGCTGTATGGAACAACCCTTAAATTAAAGCCTTGCGGAATAAAGAATTTGTTTTGTCGCACTGAATAAACCTTTTATTAGCAGATAATAGTTAATCTTGAATAAATAAATACCTAATAATTATTCGGACAATTATATTTTGAACTGCCGTCGTGTATGAATATTTGAAACAGAACTTTTGCCACTCCTAAGTTTGAATCAGACCAAACTCCGCTCCGAAGCCATCTTCCTTTTAATCCAGCATTGGACGAGATACATTCTGGGCAATCCCCCGTGGATACGTTTGACAACACAGCACGGGTTATCAACAAAAACTTAAGCTTGTGAAACATTAAGAGTTGGGGTATTTTTGTTGATGGTATGATGGTTATCATTTTTAATTTAGACACAATATAAAATATTCGTATCTCTTCTTAGTTGATATATGTATGTAAGTTTAAATAATGAAGAAAGGATAATTCTTTTTGATTCCAGGCTAAAAAAATACCATTCAATTTAGTAGTATTTATATTTATATGTTTTCTGTTCAATCAAAATTTTTAAATTATATATAGCAATATTCGTATTTATTGGCTTAAACATTCAATTTGGATTGAAGCAGAGCTCTTTCCAATAAAATTGAATGGAATCGCTGTATGGATTTATATTTTGAATTTCCATAAAAAGGAATGAGTATTAACAACGGCCGTTACAGGAATGGTTGCCTTAGTTTTGACGGCGCGTTTGACGTAAGTTTTTCTCAATTTCAAACTGTCGCAAGTCGGTTCGTTGTAAAAAGTCCTGCCGTTCTAAATAGCTTAAATATTAGAAAGAAACATTAGTCAAATATGTGGCATACAGTGCAAAATAATCTTCCGTACCCATCCTTGCCTTTATTGTGCGTGCGCAGCTCCTCATTGATACCTTCGTTTGTTTTAAAAATTTTCCAATCCATTTGTGACTTTTCCAGCACAGACAGTTTCTTTTTTTTGCCCAGTTGATTAAGAAGAGAGCCAACTCCACCGCCATTAAGCGGTCTTTTGGATTCACGAGAGAAGTATTTTGAACTAGTAGCTGTAGGTTGCTGGTGGTTTTCCTTTGCATTGGTGGAGCCCGTACTTTCTTCTACATGCAAAATCGCACTTAAACATTCAGAATCCCCTTCTCGACGCTTAACTGCTGGGGTAAGTTTGTTTGAAGCGATATTAGTGTCGTCGGTGGGTTCTCCTGGAGTCGCCACTGATTTCGGCTTATGTTGAATTTGTTTCTCACTCCCAACGTCGCTTAGAAATTCGGCCCAGAGCGCGTTGGAACGCGATTTATCTGTTTCCTCATCTGATTCCAGCTCTTCTTTTTCCATGTTTATGCGATCATTTTTGTTTCGGTCTGCTTGTCTTGTCTTACGAGGTACGGAACTTTCAGATTCATAGACATTAGAGGATATATGTTTTTTCTTATTCTTGGTGGACTTGGAAGGTTTATCGTCAGAATCGTAGTCTGGGGACTCAGAGTCATTATTGCCGCTGTCGTCGTCGCTGCCCGAGTCAATATTTTCACCCTCAATGCAATAATCTTCGTCGTTTTCGCTTTCCGATGTATTTACTTCTTCCTTGTTCATATTTTCTATTTACTTTTATTCACACCGCTTTATGTTTACCTCCTTCCAGGATTTCCTTTCTGTCGGAAAATATTAATATAGGTATATGTATATTGTAAATTACTCTCGTACAAAAACCACACAGATTAAAATAACAACAATACACACAAAATAAACTAAAAATCGCCAACAGCGAAGAAGTAGAGATGGCAAAATATCAATAATATCAAAAATATTCGATAAAAATTACATTTGCTAAGGGTACTCCCGTAAGTGTGGAACAGATTTAAACAAGTCAGGTGATTGCCATATTAATCCCTGACTATATATAATATATATGGTCAGGCAGGCTCCAATATCCAATATCAAGATCGCAAAAATTTCAGATATACTTTTTAAATCTGATAGTTGAGAGCTTTCTTACTCGCAAAACCCAAAATTTTGTAGTGCCTTTTTATAAATAATTTTTTTTTGGCCCAACCCAAAAATTTGATATGATCAAAAGTGGTCTGTGCAAAAACCATTTCGGTTTTCGTGCAAACAGCTATAGCAGCCCGATTTTTTAACATTTTAGCGCTTAACAGCACACGGGAAAATAAATCAGCGCTTTGCGAATGTCCGAGCGCCTTGAAATGAAACGTAAGCGTTTTGGTGGAAAGCGTAATGTCTAGTAATCAGATCCGAACAAAATTTTGCTAGCAAAACGTGCCATATAGTTTGCAACCATATAGTTAGCTAGATAACATTGTTTGAAGAGCATGGAAATGGACGTAAATTAACTCACAAATAAATAAAAAAAACAAAGAATTTGTACCACATGGAACTAGCAGTCCTTGCTGTGACGGAAGATGAACAAATAATTAAAAAAATTGTATATATTCATGGTAATTATTAAAAGGTTTATAGTAGATTTATAGTAAAAGTGGATGTGTGTAACGTTTCAAATCCCATAAAGTACACATATATATTCTTGATCAATAGCCGAGTCGATATAATCATGACTGTCTGTCCGTCTGTTCGTCCCGATGAGCGCCTAGTTCTCAGAGACTATAAGATCTAGAACAACAAAATTTTGTTTTCAGACTTATGTGATACGCCCCTTTCGCCACCATAAAGAACGAAAATCGCTGGCACCCACATTTTTAAAGATACGAGAAATGAAAAACGCAGTATCGAGAATGATCATATCTACCAGATTTCCGAATCTTTGAGTTATTAATTAAACCATTCCAGCACTGAAGCGCTACTCACTCTCTTTCTCGCTCGCACACACTCTGCCATGTGCAGTGTACGCACGCCCTCATCTATTGTAGATGTAGTTGACATATGTAGCTCACATATGTATATACTGACTGAGTACGAGTATATAAGTAGAGTCGTGGCCACAGAAGAGACTCACAACGTTCCCTCTCAATTAATCTGTGTACTGCTTGGCGTACAGCCGGTAGCGAACACATTTAGCTAGAAAGAACCGTTAAGAAAGTTTTCATACAAATATTATGCCTGGTTTTGCTAGCGTAAACTTGTTTCCGATATAGACTACTGGGCTCATCTGGGCTTCGTGAGCTTTGCTTTCCGGCCGAACAGATAAGCTAGGTTTTTCAAAGAAATGTATGTATTCACAAGTACTTGTGAAAAAACGTACATGTTATTATGAGTTAAACTAATTAATAAAATCAAGTGCTATTTGTAGAATACCATTACTATTAAAACAAATTTACAAATATGTTGTATATGTATGTACATACGTGCCTACATATACGCCGACCTAGAGGAAATGAATGGGGCGCATGCCCATCATTGCTTCATCAGCAATGCATTTGAAAACCAAACCAATGCTTTTCTGATTTTAAGTCCGCAATGACAAGCAACATCACAAATAAAGTCGCCGGTTCGGAGTTGTGATTTTTCGTAGAAATAGGGCCTTCCCTTTCTTCCTGCGAAAAAAATCTTTGCTAGAGAACTATCTATTCTATATTGCAGATAATGATGTAAAGTTAACATGTAAAGAAATATATACTAATATATTTATCTAAATTTAAAACTTATAAAACGACGGTCCGATGAGAAAAATCCATCGAGTGCCATGCTTTTTATATCATAAACGCAACGTGAATGTTCTTGATTGTACAATTTGTGAATGTGTTACTGATGCCCAAAGCTAAAACTTGTTTCAAATAAAGAACATATTTTTTATACAGACACATATGTACATAAATGCAGAAGAAGGATTCTGTAATGGAAAACTCACCGTCCCATTCAATTGATATAAAAATTGATAATTTCCTTGAGCACTTTCAACGTAGTGCTTCTAAGGCCGTCGAAATTAATGGCGGTGAATGCAATGGAAAAGCCGTGCAAGGAGCAGCGTCTGGCTGTGCCCAACCAGGAAGTCCGCTACGTCAAACAGCAAAACTCTTCAAAAAAACTATGAGTCAGTCCAGCTGCTTAGTCGTATCCGAATCAAATGGTAGGTATAATGAGTAGTACTGATGTATGTACTATACATTCAAGGCCACCAAGGCCACTACAAATAACATTTTATTGATTTTTCCTGTGTTTTTACGGATACAGATATTGCATTTACCAAGCTAACAAAAATGCACATAAGCATGTGTGTACATGTTTCTGCATATATATTGGCAAAAATTTATCATAGTGAATAGTGTTACCATTCAATTACCAAGATGTGGCACGAGGCACCAAACAGCTTTTCCTGGTGCCCCATAAACTGAGGGCTCGGGGTTTCCATTCTCTTTTTACCTATGGATAGTCTCTGACTGCGAAAGCGCCGTCTACTCGTCTTCTTCTGGTTGTCAATACCTTCGGCTGCTGAGTCGGTCCCCAGAATGCAATAACATGCGACGCACACAACGGGACTGCTGTTCGATTTCAGTGCACAAGCGAATAGTTCAAAACGGAATGCCCAATAATATAAAAGAATATTGTCTTTTACATGACGAGACATGGACCGAAGAAGCCAAAGACAATTTATTGCTACCAATTTGCTGTATCATGCCCAAGCAATGCAAATTGTTTTTGGTTTCTTGGGACCGAGCCGGAGTCTCGAGCTTCGGTACAGCAGTCTATCTGTGCGTGTCGCCAAAGACTGTGTTATATAACTGTCATATGAGTAATTGGTTTAACTGATTGTTTCTTATATTCTACCAATCTCAACAAATTGAAAGTTCATAAACTGTATATTTATATTTACAGCAAATGACTTAGTTGACTGTAGTTTTTTATATGGTATAGTCATCTATACATTAGTCGAGGATTCAATCGGACTTTCCAATGGTTTTTATGATATTATGACATTACATTAGAGTCTAACTATTAGATTTTCACAACTGACTAACTCCTACGACAGAGATGTAGTATTTCATTTTTTCAATAATTTTATGAATCCAATTATAAGATATTAAATCATAAGTACCCTTATTGTAAGGAAATAAACATACTAACGCTATACAATACCATTTTTAATATACCGCATGCTAGAAATATCCTAAAGCGTCAAATACGCATTACGTTATGTGTAAACACTATAAATAAAGCGCATTACATTAAGATAGCACAAATAATATAAATAATAATAATAATAATATAATAATATTAAATAATAATATTTATGTTTTATTGTTCCGACGGTTTTCCGCCTGTAAGTAAGAAAGCGGTAGCCGATTATCCCGTGCTTGGAGGTAAAACCGAATTTTTAGTTTCATGTACATAACTTAATCACCGGTGTTTATACTAATAGTTTGTATGTCTAATGTACATAAATATACATATGTATGTATGATCGTTTCGTTGACTCAACAGTATGCAAATAACGTATGCGAGTCACTCACAGCTGACATTTACAGCTAATTGCATCAGTGAATGCATGTACATATGTATGTCAATAAAAAAGTGAGTTCTTTTATTAGAAATAACATATAAACGATGTATAGCTAATCGGTTTTATGCGTAGGGTTTCTTCTATTTTAAGACTACAGTTCGTCTCCAAGGATGTACATATTAATGTATATCTATATGTACATATCCTATGTTCTCCCCACTCCTAGTCATCCGAATGTACTACTTAGGTTGTTATTTGTTATTTAGGAACCATTTTCAGATGCCCAAGTATTTTTTCATGGTTAGGCCAGAACCATGAAAAAACACACCTTTTTTACCACGAAGGGATCATGGAAAATCTTATTGATGGTCGTCATACTAATGCCCAAGGATACCTCAATCTCACGTCATGTCATGACGATCTTGCTCAATCATTTCGCACACCTTCACGAAATTCGTCCTGAAACGAATGATTGAATTCGATTGAATTCGCGATTCCAGTTTTTTACATGGCAATGTATTGTGCTTCATCAATAAAAGTTGAACTATGCTGATCTAAGCATTCTTGGCTTAAGAACCCACCTCAAATATGGTAGGAAACCATGACAAAGACATTTTCATGTGTAAATTTCAATATTAGCCTGAGATGAATTATTTATTTATCCTTAATCGATATCGAACGTGGTCGTACATGCAAAAATTTGATGTATGTTTAATCCATAAAAGTCCAAACGTTTTTATGCAAATGACTATTTGGTCCTAGCAAGGCTAGAAGTAACCTAGGCCAGAAACATAAATAGCACCCCTCGATCAGTTCTCGAACAGTGCTCGGCAAGCGCATTCACATTTGAAACCAAATATTCCATTTTGGAGCAAACATGCATGAAAACCACTGTGCTTGGTTTCAGGATAATGGGTCGTTATTTTGGGTTCCCTTTTGGGTTTCTTTTGTAAGAATTATAAGCTGGGTTCACTGATTTGAAGAAAGCCAGGTTTTTTTTTTTGAAAAAATAATAGAAACGCATTCAAATTTTATTCTTTTATTTTAATAAAACGGTTAAAATTATAGAGGTAATATTTCATCGTCTTAAGGAAAAAGGAGATAAAAAATACCTCTTCCTGCATATTCCGTTTTGTTTGTTGTGGATATTCGGTTCAGAATGGGTCGTGGCGCACATTGTACGGATATTAAACGAGAAGGAACGTGTGAGTCGCTTCTGGGGACGCGACTCTACTTATACCCGTACTCAGTCAGCATATATATTTTGAGCATATAATTATTTAGAATTTTACATTTTACATTTTTTTGCTACATCTGTTATCTACATCTACATATATTATGTATATTATACATCTAACATGTATATTCTACATGTACCATTTAGATTCTACATCTCCTCCGCTAGGGGTTGCTCGCGCACTGAACGCGGCAGGAGGGGGCAGGTGAAGCAACAGAAAATTAATTTCTTCATTCTGGCTATAATTATGATCCGATCTGATTTGGCAATCTGGTAGATATGGGCATTCTCTACGATACTGCGTTTTTAGTTTTATCGTATCTTTAAAATTGTGCCTGCCACAGATTTTCGTCCTTTGTGTTGGCGGAAGGGGGCGGGGCGAAATTTTGAAATATGTACACTTGTAGCAGTGGGATATCACATGAGTCTGAACACCAAAAACCAAAACCAAATGGCTGCCCTAGCTCTTATTGTCTCTGAGATCTAGGCGCTCAACAAGACAGACAGACGGACAGACAGACATGGCTATATCGACTCGGCTATTGATGCTGATCAAGAATATATATACTTTATGGGGTCGGAAACGTTTCCTTCTCTGCGTTACACACATCCACTTTTACCACAAATCTAATATACCCCTTAACTCTTTTTTGAATACGGGTATAAAAAGCGAATCACACACGGCATAAAGCGCGCAACATCGGTAAATTTCAACAGACGCCTTGTTCGAAAATAATAAAAAACTTAAGTATCTTACATGTGGCTGCAAAGAACTTTTCCATTCTAAAAATCTATTGCAGCTAGAAATTAAACCCAAGCACTTAGTGGTTTTAGCTTACCGTCTGGGAAATATTAGCTCAACATAAGCATAAACAAAAATACCAGTCTTCGAAAATTCTTCAAAAAAAAAGGTCTGACATAGAAAAAAGACCATAATTCTAAAAAAAAATGTAAAGCCCCAAATCCATCAGAAAAAGTAGGTTTGTCGAGTAGATTTTGTCGAGTAGTGTTATAAGTACGAATAAAAGGGCGGGCTTATAAGTAATCGGCATTACCAAAAAATCACATTTCTAACCACCCATTAATATTTTATTCGATTAGTGCTTTCTTTAGCTGATTGCTGAGAAAGTTTCAGGCTGTTTTGTCAACCGTGATAATTTTGGCGGGAGGTTTAGCATGGTCATTTTGCATTTGAAGAAATAATGGAAAAAGTGAATTTTGTTTGGGCCGAAAAAAACCACCACTGAAAATAAGGAAAAGCTAGATAAATATTTTGTGATCTCTTCATCGGTTTCAATGGTGAAAAAGTGTATTACTGTATTTTTGGTTTTGCCCTTACAAGCAAAAACATTCTGGACACTCAGTTATGGTCTTATACCCGAAGAAATTGAAAAAATTCACGATATGGTGTTGGCCGATCGGAGATTGAAATTGCAAGATATTATGGAAGCCATAGGAAACCACATGGCTAAGTGGTTTAAATTTTGAAATGATCACTTGGATATGTTTAGGGAGGACTAAAGATACACATGTTTATTAATAAAGTAATATCTATTTACTTTAAAATTATGTTTAGAAAAACAGTACCATGTACTTTGTTGGTACCAAGAATGTGTATTTAACAGACTCCAAAAAGTTCATAATCCTAATAATAATAATAAATAAATAAATAATAATAATATTATCCTCATAGTCCATATTTTAAAATATTTGATTACATATTTATAGTTTGAAACTAACTTTTTTACTAATTATAATATTAATTATAAATAACTAATTATTTTCTGTTTTGTCAATGAAACAGATAATGATTTCGGGAGCCCGCCGACTGAATCACAGGAAAAATTGGTGGGACTGCAGCAAAAGTTCAGCCAGCACATGATCGACTCGCAAATTTCGATCAGCAGTGGCACTTCAATACAGACTGCTTTTTTTCAGTCGCTCAACAATTCCCCGGCACATCAAGCCACAGACCCCATGCACCTCACAGCGTCAACGTTCAATAGCATATCCGCTACATCTGTCAACACACAAGGTGTTGTCTACGCAACAGACGCGTTGAGCGCTCAACGTCCATCAGAACTTATAAACTCCCTGGTGGAACACATAAATCCAGCCCAAGTAGCAGCTGCAATGAGTGGCGAAGGTGTACTGAACATTGCCGATGTGGCAGATCTCTTACACCCCCAACATGCTATCATCACTGGTGGACGTTCTCAGGAGGGGTGTCCGCTAATAATCTTTCCAGATAACAATAATTTTAGTTTGTTAGAAGAAGCAGATTACCAAAAGCTAATTTTGTATCTTAGTTCAGTACCGTCGTAAGTACTAATTATTTCTGAAACTGGGCTGTTATTTATGCGATGAAGTTACGTTTTATATTTCAGATTGCAAGACGCTGATCTTGGATTTCATTTAATTGTGGATCGCCGAAAGGACAGGTGGACTTCGGTGAAGACTGTTTTGCAAAGAATCTCGGTAATTATCTTACACCGACTGCTCAACATAGACTCAGAAATTTAAAATATCGTTTATTTCTAGATTTATTTTCCCGGTATTATTCATGTGGTATATGTGCTTCGTCCGTCGGGTCTCTTTCAAAAAGCTATATCAGAAGTAAGCACGAAATTTTCCAAAGATGAATATAGATTTCGGCTTGTTGTTTGCTCGGCTCTTTCTGACCTACATGAGTTTGTCGATGCTAGCCAATTAACACCCGATATGGGAGGGGTTCTGATCTACTCACACCACGAGTGGATACAACAAAGAATTGTATGTACTTCATTTCCAGAATCTATGTATCTGCTTTACTTTAAGTATGTTGTACTTTACAGTCGCTTGAAAAGTTTTCGAGCCTAACACACCAAGTTTCTGCTGAACTGGATATATTTATTCAAGCTATACACGATACTGAGTTTCCAAATTCAGTGGAGGCAACCAAAACTCTATTAGAAGTTCAAGGGACAGACTATACGCGCTTAAAGGTCAGTTTCAGTACTTTTTGATGTTTATATGTATGTTTCTCATTTGTTTATTCATGTAGGAGGAAATACTTTCTGCAGCTAAACACGGAGAATCCCTTCTGGAAAACATTAAATTAATTGATGAATATAAAGAATTTTCTGAGCGCACCGGAAACGTTAGTGCTATCGAAAGGTTTGTAAACAGCTTTTCAATATAATAATAAAAACAACAAAAAATTCTACTTAACGATTTGATATGTTTTGAGAAACTTGTTTGTGTTTTAACAACTAAAACTTAATTTTTTCAACTAACTCCAAGTAAATTCGGTTTGAAAGCTCTGCACTGGTTTTGTATTCTCATAATTTAAGAAACTAAGACATTCAATTAAGGGGCATGTTTGAAATCTAATACATATCGATTATTACCGGCATTTTGTTTGCGTTTAAATTTCCGACTAGATCCAAGTATATGCCATTTGGCATTTGAAAATTCAAAAGATGTCAACAATTAAACATATGTCAAATATTTGAAACACATTCATGAAATAGTGTTGACCATTTCTTACCCGATCATACTTAATAACATTTAGTACTAACTTTTCTCAAATGATTTTTCAGTATTTAATATAATATAATTTATGATTTTTGATTAAATTATTTTCTGTAATCAATTTGTGCAAATAATACTTCTCGTTCCCATTGCATGGATATACATATAGATAATTGTCTGTGCTTATTTTATTAGATCATATAAAAAATATTTTAGGACAAAACAACTTAGTACGCTATAACTGTGCATTGTTTGCATTGAAATAAAAAGATAATTCAAATAATGTAGTTATTCGAGTCAAGGAAGCGTTTATCAAATTAGCTCTACCACAGATGGTCTCGAGGATCCCAGTGCTTAAGCGGATAGACAAATGTTCAACAGAATTGTCTCTATTAAATATGAACATATAAACGAGTACTATCACCCTTCAGATACCGTTTTGAATTTAATCACTAGCATCATTAGAATGTTAAATTGACACCCATTTATCCATTCACCAACAGCACCAACACATATACATTTATGTGCATTTAAAAAATTGATCAAATGCTTTAAAGCTCATTTAAGTGTCACCTATCTCGCTTATCAAAGTTGTTGTCGTCTTTTGTCTTTCCCAACGTGCGCACGGGTGCATACATATGTAACATTACAAAATAATATTTCAAAATCAAAAAAAAACCTCAATGCACTGTTCGTCAACCAACAACCCGACGTGCAGATCCAGTGCAGGGCAGCCGATGCACCGTCAGCAAATTATTTATCATCAACAATATACATTTAAAAAACCCCAACATTATGATGATTGTCGCGATTACCGTAGACTTCTTGTGCAGCTGGAGGAGACGGAGCGACGCTTCGATGAGTTCTGGCGTACGCACCGCAATCGCCTAGAACAGTGTCTGCGTCTGCGGATGTTCGAGCAAGAGTTTCGCGATCTGCAGGTATGTCGCAGTACCATGATACAGTCTCATGATCAATTATTTCTCATTATTCTACTATAGAATATATTCGATGGGCATCTTAAGACGATAGCTGAAATGACTGAAATCGGCGAGAGCGTGGAACGTGTTGCTATGTTGATACAAGAAACCGAGGATTTTCAATCAATGATCAGGACTGACGTTGAGCGTACCGAAGAAGTTTTACAGGCCGGACAGCAGTTGATAGGCTCACGCGGAGTTTACCCCTGGGAAGTCGTTCAGCCCAAATGCGATGAGCTCCAGCGCGTTTGCCATGTAGTTAGCATGCGCCTAACTAAAAGGTTAGATATCCTTGCCAAAAATAGCGAACTAATGGAGAGAGTTGAAAAGGTAAGCATTATAAGCATTGTCCAGCCAAAATTTTACCAATAACGTTGCATTTCCTTTTTGAAGGCTAATCAGTGGTGCGCCAATGGTGTGGAGTTGTTGGCCTCCCAACGCATCGAAAAATGCTCAGTGTCAGCCGATCTGGCCGAGCAGAGTCTACACGAGATACAAGCTTTCATCGCTTCTGCTTCTGACTTTAAATTATCTAGTCCAAGTGAATTTAAAAAAATTTTCCTCGATAGCACTACTCCTGAGACCAAAGCTCTTGTATCACAGGTGAGGTGAAGCCTTTGTCTATTTGCATGTGCCAGAATTCGCGAGGGGGTTACAACATAGTTTTTGGTTTAAGTATTTAAAGTCTTGTAGTCTAGCACTCAAAAATCTCTTGGCAAAAGGGTTTAAAAAACCGAAATGTTTATCTTTTCGCTTTTTCAGTTCCAGCAGACAGACAGACATGGCTAGGTCGACTGTAATGTCATCAAGAATACAAACATAGTAGCGACTGAGTTCTCTCTTTTGGCGCTTATAATAAAGAAAGGTTATCCTCAGGGATGAAGTTTTTGAAAATCCAGTTTTTCATGTCAATTATATGCATTTTTGTTGTCGATTTGGATTCCTTTCAGCTTTAAATCAGTATACGCATCTATCTATATATGTATATAAACATCTCGAGTCACGGTGTTTGTGGCAGAACTCCTCTCAAACGGCTCGACCGATTCTTATGAAAAGGGTGTAAAATATTGTTCACTTTCCTAGAACCACACACTACCTTTTAATCGCGATTTTAGATTTTTTTTTTACTAAGCAATGCTTTGATTTATTTTTCAGTGTATTTTGTGACATACAGGCTTCGTCTTTGCGTTTTACGTGTTCAGCCAAAAGTCATACTTTTCATTCAAGGCGCTCCGACATTCGAAAAACTGTGATTAATTTATTCCTGTACTGTTGAGAGCAAAATTTACTGTTGTTACGAGTATACCCACGCGCTAGTGCCAGCTCATGTAAAAAGGCCTCTGTTATGTTTAACAGAGATTTATCAATAAACAAATCGGGCTACGACCGCTGTTCGGACGAATTTTTAAGGATGGTTTAAAAAAATTATTATAAAAAAAGGGCACAAGATCAATTTTATTTTGAAAATTTTGTATGGGCAAAACTGAAATGTAGAAATTTTCTAAAAAAGTAACCATGTCCGACTGCCAGTTAGTTTTTGCACTCAAACTCTTAATAACACTAGTCAACACGATTTTTCCTCCAGGAACAAAACGAACTTTTTCTTAAAGATTTGGGGCTTAGAAATGGTTTGATGATAATTTTTTTTTTCTATGGCAGAACTTTTTTTTGAAGAATTTTTGAAAACTGGTATTTTTTTTTTAAGCTTTTTTCAGAGGTAGCGCTTGTTTTTTTCACATAGCTCTAGTATCTTACGTCTGGTTGTAAAGAACTTTGCTATTTTGAAAAGATAATTAAAACAGCTAGAAGTTAAGCCCAAACACTTTGTGATTACAGCTTACCGTCTAGGAAATATAAAGCATTGAAATGCAAAAATTATGATTTTTGTGCGGTATTTTTTACGAAATTTTAAAATTTTTAAAACTCAGGAAAAGTCGAAAAAAATTATATTCTGTGTCTTCAATTTTTTTTTGTATAGGTGCACTAATTTGGCGTCGTTTAAGGTATCGCTCATTAAAATCTATGGAGAGACTTTGGAGCTAAAATTCGTTAACCAAACCTAAAAAATGAAAAAAATGAACAAAAAATACCTTTTTGATGGTTGCGGGCCCAACTGCCAATTGGGAACAAAGCAAACGAAAAAGGGTTGTACATTTGGTACCTGATCGCGATCCCAATTCCCAATTATAATTCGCGGTCTGTTAAAGGTGTTTTTTTCTTTGAGAATGGGCTTATACATTAAACATACAGTTCTCGTCATCAGCTTAGCACATCCCCCATCACCTTCATATAATTGAATTTCTTTTTGTTGTAAACATGCAGCTTCTTTACTGTTATCTATTTTACTTATTTTCTTATGCACTCTCACTGGAAAAATAAAAGCGATAATAACATCCCGTTATATGTTTTTTACTATATTCTTTTATTTTTGATCGAAAAATATGCTTTATTTTTGCGTCATCAGATTAGCACATGCTTATTCTTTTTAATTTATCTTCGGCATTTATACACGTATTGCAACTATATTTTTTGCTAATTAAGTGATCTATTTGGTTTAGTCTGTGGACCAAAATGACTTTTTCTGATAGATTTCGGGATTTAAAATTTTTTTAGTACTTTATATTTTTTTATCGTGTAATTTTTTATTAAAGAATTTTTAAAATCAGGTATTTTTTTCATGGTTTTTTTCAGAGGTAGTGCTTCTATTTTTCACATAACTTGGCAGTTCTGAAAATCTGACAAATGCAGCTATAAATCCATAAATGCAGTCAAAATTCGGGGGAAAATACCGCAAAAAAAATATCAAATTTGAATTGGAAAACTTAATATCTTCCAGACGTTAAGCTGCAGCCACAAAGTGTCTGGGTCGGATATAGCTGCAGTTGTCAGCTTTTCAGAACTGCAACGTTCTATGCAACCAGATATGATATAAGATATTTAAGGTTTGTGAAAAATAGAAGCACTACCTCTAAAAAAAAAACATGTAATATTCCAAATTTCAAAAATTCTTTAAAAACGAGAAGGAACGTGTGAGTCGCTTCTAGGGACGCGACTCTACTTATACCCGTACTCAGTCAGTATATACAATTTTGAGCATATAATTTTTGATTTTTTAAATTTAGAACTTAAAAAAAAACATTTACATTTTTCATCTACATGTACATCTGTATCTACAATGTATATTCGACATCTAACATGTATAATATACATATATGTATCATATAGATTTTACATCTCCTCCGCTAGGGGTTGCTCGCGCACTGAACGCGGAAGAGTGTGCGAGCGAGAAAGAGAATGAATATCGTGTCTCTGGCTGGGCGGCGGGGGAAGCAACTGAAAATTAATTTTTTCATTCTGGCTATAATTATGATCCGATTTGATTCAGATTCGGCCATCTGGTAGATATGGCCATTCTCTACGATACTGCGTTAGTTTTATCGTATCTTTAAAATTGTGCCTGCCACAGATTTTCGTCCTTTGTGTGGGCGGAAGGGGGCGGCGTGAAATTTTGAAATACACTTGTAGCAGTGTGATATCACATGAGTCTGAACACCAAAAACCTGAGATCAAGGCGCTCAAGACGGATAGACAAACATGGCTACATCTCCTCCACTAGAGGGTGCGCGTATACTGCACACGGCAGAGTTTGTGTGAGCGAGAAAGAGAATAAGTAGCGGCTGCAGCTCTGGAATGGGTGGTTTCATTCTAGCTATAATATGATTAGATTCGGCCATCTGTTAGATATGTTTTCTCTATTTTCTCGTATCTTGAAAACTGTGGATGCCACAAATTTTCATTCTGTGGTGGCAAAAGGGGGCGGGGAAATTTTAAAATACACTTGTAACAGTATGAAATCACTTCTGGAAACAAAATTTGGTTGCTCTAGCTCTTATAGTCTCTGAGAACTAGGGGCTCATCACATTTCCTTCTCTGCGTTACACGCATCCAATTCGACCACAAGTCTAATATACCCCTTAACTCTTTGACACTGCTGACACACACCGTTCATACGACGCTCTCCAATATCCGATAATATCTGATAAACTTGGGGCTTTAAATACTTTAAACTACGCCGAATTAATGCACCTTACACTAAAAAGACAGAATATAACTTTTTTTTGACTTCTCATGAATATTTAAAATCAAAATTTGAAAAAAATAACGCACAAACCTGATTTATTTTTTATTTCATACCTTAATATTTCCCAGATGGTAAGCTGAATCTTCAAAGTGTTCAGATCCACTTAATAGCTACTTTTATGTATAACTGTTCAGAATGGCAAAGTTTATTACAGCCAGCTGTAAGATACTTAAGTTATGTGAAAAAATAGGCGCTACCTCAAAAAAAATCAACAGGAAAACCACTTTAGCTCTTTAAAAAAAAATTCTGCCATACAAAACTAAAAAAAACTCATGGGAAAAAGCCTTAAGAGTTAAAAAAAGGATTTTTAAATAACAATTTGCTATCTAAAGAACGGTTGTTGTGTTTGTCTTGTCTCAATTAGTAAGGATATGTATCAGTCTTTTCTCAGCTCCCCATGGTTTTTCTTTGTTTACTTTAAAGATTTTTTTTTGAACAAAAAAATAAAACTCATAAGATAATCATAATTTTTTTGTTTTGCTCAATTATAATTTGTATGGATAAATTTTAATACATAATAGTTATTATCAATGAAGATTATCCTTAAAAATCAAATACAATTTTTCTTGTTTAATTTTTAAAATATAACTTATAATGATTACGGTCCCTGCTTTAAAAATGTATTAAAAATAAATAAAATTACCTACAAATACAGACCAAAACCAAAAATTATTGATTATTTTGGCAACTCTTTTCGGCTGAAGCCCCACTGTGCGACGGCGAGTCAGAAAAGGAAAATATCGGTAGCAGCGTAATGCGGTTGCGTAAACTAGTTCTATATCATATATATTGACTACCATTCTCATAAGAAAATAAATAATTATGAAAGCTTTGTACGATCATGCAACTACTATCTATGATTGGTCTGAGATGCTGCAATTCGTCATTCGGTTTACTTAGATTAAATCATTTCATGAGTGTCCACGGCAATTTCTTCTGTCCCATTTAAAGAAAGAAGTGGCTCTAAAGCTGTTCAACCAGTTCTTTACAACAAGTTACTGAACTAGACTGTGCCAGAATTTGTTTTTTTTTTGCGTTCTTATTTGATTCTGGTAGAAGGTAACTTGATTTTTTGACCAGATGATTGAAACGCACAATATAAGCATATATTGTTGATTAGCATCCAAGTCGATATATGTAGCCATATCCTTCCGCTTTGAAGCCTGGTGTTGACCGCTCGTACTACATATATGTATGTACATATGTATAAATCGAAAAAAAGAAGATACAATTTTGGTAAAGAATGGATCAAGGAACAGTTTTTTCTGCAGCGGATACAATTTATGCATTTTATTTAATTAAATACATTAAAAATTAAATTACATAATAATAATAAATAATTCAATAAATAACTTCAATCAAATAGATTCAGATAGTCCCACTTGTTGCATTGCTATGCCGTCAAACTTGTTTCTTTAAATGGTATTTAAAAGACTTGTTATCTACTCTTCAAACTGGTTTCCTGTAACAAAATGTATAATGTGAAGAAATTACTTAATCGCATCTTATTACATATAAAGGATTTTAAAATTATTTCTACGCACCCTCGCAGTCTTTCTGTTAGGTAATATCCTGGTGAGGCATGTCGGGTTGTACAGCTGTTTAGAAATGCAAATTGCCAATATTGTGCGACTTCTCAGTCATGAGTCGACAAGGCCCCGCTTGCACCCGAAGAAAAAGAAAATCGGGTTTCTCTCTTTTTTATTCCAGAAAGGCCTGTCCAAGTATGCATGAAATGGGTCATACAAACCCGTTTCGTGTATACCATTTATTCAGCTGTATGCACATTAAACCTGACCCATTTTTTCAAGTTCTCTAGGCTGCTTTCTAAGCATGCTTTATCAGTTTGAAAAATCGACGTCCAGATGGGGTGGAAATTCAGATTGATTTAAAAAACTTAGTAAAAACATTATACATATGTATATTTGTATGACAATATGAACATGCACATATTTTCATTAAAATTTGGTTTCGCCGGAAAATCATTCGCAATCACCGCCAAAACAAGCATGTTCATCGATGGAAGCTTCCAAAGAGGTGGAGGTCAACGGAAATATTTTTCACAACTGGTGGTTATGCAACCTAAAGAGGTTATCGAAGTTCAATACCGCGTCGACCATCCTGCCAAAATAACAGAAACAGCAAAATAAATTAAACTCAATAAACGTATTCGAACGGTTAAAAGAAAATTTTTAGTGGGAAAATGTTAAATTACATTGTTTGACTGGACTTTCCGTAAAGGTTGAATTGTTGAAAACTGGTCACCTCAGTGCAATGCCAGTATCGTGTAACACTGAAGCTTGTGCCTTCGGCAAGTTGAAGATGCGCTCAAGCATTTTCGATAAAAGCCCGACTCAGGTGAAAGCGAAAGTGGATGCGAATATAGACAAAGTAGGGTTGCCTTGCCGCAATTACGTAAAATGTCAAACGGCATGACCCCGCAACTTGACTGCAAATTCCCATTTAAAAAGCGTTGTCCAATAATGGGGTCCTAGACAAATTGAAAAGGAAACTGGAAATATATCAACGTAGTTGCTAGTAAGTTACCTGCTGAAATAATTATTTATCAGAAACTGATAAATAAATCGTCATAATTTTAGAGTTTTGGAAAAATTATATAAGCATTAGGAACACGACTAAAACTTTTAATTGCGAATCACTAGTTGCTTTGCTACAGTTTTTGCCAAATATCCCAATAATGTATGTTATATATGTATATTTAAGAGCATGACAGCCAACCTCTATCTGTGACAAGTGTTAGCGAGGTCCCATGAAAGCTAAGAGGCGCTTGTACAATAAAAAGGTACAGATGGTCAATTAGCTTTTTCAGTCTGGCTGATCCATAACTTACCTATGTAGAATCTGTGAAAATTTTTTTGAGTGAGCACCGGACGCTTATACTCAAAAAGAAAACTATATGTATGTACATATATCGTGGGTTTATTTTGTTGGTCTATTTTATTAGGTGTACCTATAATTATCCATATCGAATCAATTTGTAAGACCAAATGTTGTACTTTTGTTAAAAATTAAATATAAAATTATAACGTATAGTGAAATTGCCCATAAAAAGTTATTTATCGACAACCAAAATTAAAAAAAATAGAATAATAGGCAAAAATTCACCGCCAATAATGTTCAACATTGACAATGGATTTTTTGTCTAGGTGGCACGTTCCATGAAAATGCTTACATGTATATTGTTTTATTTGGGACCACTTCAAAGAAAATTTTGTCCACCATTTGCCACATCGCTTTAAATACGTTGAAAAGCATAAAATAGTCTTTATCTATGAATTTATTTGCGGCATATTTTATTTAAGTTTATAAACTATATTCTTTAGGTGCTGCAGAGAATTGATGATGTGTCTTTGATGTGCGACAAGCGTATTGCCAGTCTCAAGAAATTGGCGCTGAAACCCCCGCGACCTGTGCAACAAGTTACACCGGAGCCTGCTGTTCCTCTTCAACCTCCCGGGGGGGCACCACACCTACTCCGCCGTAAGCACAATAAGGTAAGTACCAGAATTGAAGCTTGTATTGAAATTAATACATACATATATACTAAATACTTATATACATAAGTATGAATATATGTGTTTAGCTTTAATCCAAATTCGGCTAAATGTCTTCTATTCGTTCATTTTTTTATATTTATGAATGATAATTGAGCATATAGTACACACATTGAAAGTACTACGAGTATTTTACAGAGGGTATGTAAAAATCGAGCTTGCATTTTGTTTAAAGTGAAACTTCCAGGGTAGCCACTTTAGAGATTTTCTTTTGTGTTGCACAGTGGTGGTACATGTTTCAAGTTCATTGTGCGAATTTCACACACTGATCTTTTTATCTACTTATACAAAAGATTCGGCCTGGCGGCTATGAGCAATTGTTTCGTTGCACTAAATTGGTTTAACAAAAGCTCAGGGCGAAACAAAGCCAAGTCGCTTGGCTCTGCATGATAAGAAAACTGTACAAACAATTTCACTTTTGCGCTATTCGGAGGTCGACTCGACTCGACTCAACTCGACCCAGAGCCCGAGTCTACAAAAGCTTTAGGGTCTGGATGGGTACTTGCAACCGCCAGCAGCAATCCGCGGTTGTTTAATAACCCGCTGCGTCGTGGCGCTACATTTTGTTTACGTACAAATCATGGTTGAATGGAACCGTTGCTTGTATTTAGCATTACGATCGTTTTAATGACACCAACAGCCATTTAAAGGCATTTCCTTTCATAACAGCATACACATCTACTAGAAGCCCAAGAGCTTGGCGGTCAATGATGTGGTCATTGACTTACATTTACATAAGCGAATCCAACTCCAGTCGAGACGCATACGAGTACAAACAAGTGTGCACTATAAAACCCGGGAAACGTCGTTCTCAGTTGTGACTTACACCTTCGGTATTCTTAGGTGCCTTCCCATATATGTATATGATCACACGTTCTGATGATATGAAATGAGCACGTACGCGAGAGTCAGATACATACATAAATTCATTCGATAACGGCAGCAACAATCTAAACTAATATTATTACATGCTCCAACTGTTTAAACCGTTGGGTTTTCTTTCCGGAGAGCGGAATTTAATTTGCGCTAGTTTCAGTGTCCTCCACGCTATTGACAGACATATCTGAATACTGATTGGATAGACTTATATTTGCCGGTTTACTTGGCCAGGAGCGTTTATAAAAAATGCATGCAGATTTTGTACTCTTTTTCTAAGTCTGTGTCACTCTCGGCGCCAACATGCAACAAATGTACTTTTCACGACTGTCATGAAATAAATGATTAATGAGGCTACCATCATACTTGGCGCATTAACACCTTTTTCTGAACTTATGGGTGGATGATTAATGTTTGAACCAATTTATTTCCGCTTTTTGTTGTGTGTGATTCGCAAACGTATGTAAAGGTTGATATGGAAGCGACACGTTCTGACCAGCATACTACGCACATGTTGTTTGTTTAATTTTCAGAGCTTTCTACTCGAAACGTTTCGAAAATTTCAAAAGTCTGCTTTGAAAAGCATTTCACTCGTACACAACCATTGCACATACACTGTAATTTGTACACCTATTAATCAAGCAAAAAATCGAAAGTCAGTGATATTATGCTACTATCAGGTGCTTATATTGATTACACTCAGCAAATGCATTAATGAAACAAGAAATTACGATACAAGTACCATCTACCACCTTTTACCGCATGTTTTCACCACCTGCAAGATACGGGAATCATATCACTGCCTAATCATTTAATGAAAGTTACTCCCGTCACAGAAAGCAACTGCAACTGATACTTCTTCAAATGTATTTATTTTCAGCTTAACCATAATTATAAAATGAATTCGTATTTCTAGGCTTGTCAACGATCCGATCGTTGTAGCTCTTTCACTTTCACATATTTATGCATAAACTATTGTAATTATTATTATAACATTTTTGGTCTCCTGCACGGCAAGTACTGGTGATGGTTGTTTTCATTTGATGTTCGAAATTTTGATATTGTTAAAGCTGCGCACGTAAGACTGAGCAAGTGCAGTAAAAGCAACATAACCACAACCACAAGTACAAGTACAGTAAGTCGCACTCTCTAATTTAACGCATACGGGTAAATCGGAGGTCACACTGCGTGCCTTGTTCGTGATTTCCCTCTCATACGAGCATAACAGTATTTCTTGTCTGTGGACAGATATACTATTCTCTTTGCATTACATACGCGTACGTGAGAAAATCGATCGTTCTGAAAATGGTTTATTATGGATTATCCCCTTGCAGATGCATCGTCCCCATCTTTCTATACCCTCAAGCCTGAAGCTGTACTAGGCATATGATGGTCGACGAGCCCAAGTCAGCTTTCATGCCATGCCAACACGTGCAGCAAGTGCAGCACGTCAATGTGCAGCAAGTTTTATCCTTCATTTGACTGGCAGGCGTCTGGAAAAGACAATGCCCGAGAAAGCAAAAACAAAATACTGACGTGTCTGAACGCAGCTGAGTGATCGATTCTGGCGCACAAAAATCCATTAAAAAAATATACGCAATGCAAAAAGATTGGCAAAAAGATCTCTGCTACCGAGAATCATAATACATCAGCTCCATATACTTAATCTCGTAAGATATAGTAGTCAACATATACGTATATGAATATTAGCAGGCTTAGTAAATTCTAAGCTTAGTTATACTGGACTAAAATGTACACATACTGTGAACATACGATTTGCCAAACTTGTTCCACATATAAAAAAAGGCTGCACAAAAAAGCTTTTGGCTGCACTATAAATATTCTTTTAAATACTTACTTAGTATACGCAGAAAATAGTGAGCCTTTGAGAATTCAGTCGTGAGGATCATTTACTACTTCAGCTACTTCAGTAGCTCTACAAATGTGTAAAATACTTTTAAACGGTTCTTTTCTCAAGTAATACATTTTGCTTTGCCATGGCAAACGCCATGGCCATGCCATCAAGATCAAATCAGACAAGAAAAGAAAGCTGCGTTGACGACCAATTAACCTTTCAGCCAAATATATGTCGCGTGTCTTTGGCCAGGCTGCCCAGATATGTATTTTCACGTCGCATATGATATGAGCATGACCTTACGACTGACTACCGAAACTAACTTTTTGTATTACTGCTTTGCTGTTTTTACAGATGAACTTCCACAGAACCTCCACGCATGAAAACTCTTAGCTATGGCTTATACGAGTATACTCTTTTAATATTGATACAATTTAAATAGTTAAATAGTACTTGATGTTACAAAACAAATATCTGTACGTTAAAAACTTATGCCCAATTGTATGAGGCCTTTTTTTTTAAGAGTGTGGAAGGGCATTTATTTTTCCCAAAAATCCGTTTTGTTTTGTTTTCAATTAAAATAAACTTCCTCTAAGAGGTTTGTGGGTATCCTAAATGAATTATCTATTGGGTTTTTCTAAAATTGTTGGCAAAAAGCTCGGCTACAAAGACCAACGTGGCTACTGTAGATCCCAATACCAAGACGAGTATAATTCCCGCAAAGTTCGACATCCCCAGCCGGACTGGGCCAATATCCTCTTGGCTCCTCGACATGGTGCTCTCCACCTGTTGTTGTTTCTGAACGTTGAGATTGTCAGCGACTACACGGTACTCCCAGTATTTGTCGAATCCGGACGAATGCCAACTATAAATTAGCGTATTGAACTGCTCAAGTAATGGCCACAGTCTGGGAACGAAGGCCACCGTATATTGGTAGTAGAGGTCCTCCTGCATGATTACCATTTGGTCGATAGCTTCTGGTAATAAGTAGTCCCCAATGGCAAAGTGACCTGGAAACAGGACATCAACATTATATGATATAATATAAATGATCAAAATATCTAAGATACCGAAGGGAAGACGTTCAACAGTGAAGCCCAGTCGCACTTGAGTCCCTTGTGCCAATCGGAGCAGCTGCTCATCGCTGTAGATGTGAAAATTGCTTAAGAGATCTTGCACCAAAGGCTGCGAAAAATTAATGTCTCGTAGCATAGCAATTACATGAAATACAACTTACTTCATCAGAACCACGGATAGCTGAAACCCATGCCTCCGAGTTAGCGGCCCACTGCAATCGCTGATTGCGCAACCGTGGCACTGTGTCCGCCGCCTCAGACATACTTGGTATAGTCAATATACTGGCCAGACCGCCACCATAAATGCTGGTTATGATTAGATCGTTGAGAAAACAGGCAAAGAGCAACACACGGACAGTTACAGAAGACGTTTTGCTGTTTCCTGATTGCGATATGAAAAGCTTAAAGGCCGTAGCCAGGCCCAGCATTGAACAGCACCACCAGCCCTCACGGGCGCTTACCGGGACGTACAGTTCTTGCTCGCTTCTGTAGGCCAGCACTAACCAAAAGGTCTCCAAACAGAGGTAAACCAGGACCGCAGCCCAGAGGTTTGCTTGGAACGGCTGTAGGGGAAGGGACCAGCTCGCTAGTCTCAAAGGTGCTGGGACCAGGCAAGTTATTCCGGATCTCACGAGATACATTGATAGATCTAAATATGTGTATCCCTCATACCACGAATACATTGCGCCAATGCAAATATCTGCTTTGTGATTAATAATCATGCCCATGGCGCCATCCCCAGACATATTTTGGTAAACGGTGCCCCAATCGTCGGCGTCAGCTGTTAAAAAGGAAGAGGTTCACCTCAGTGTACTCCCGGATGCCATTAGGACTTGAGTTAACAAGTACAAGACTACTTACATGTGTCAATTTGCACTGTACAATTGAACTTTGCACAAAAGTTGAGAACAACACGTGCTTCCGTGCCATCAATGTAGACATTACCCAAGCCCGAATCTTGCGCCACGCCTATATCACGTGTGTTGCTAGTCTCTGTGTTCTGTAGAATGAAAACAGATACCTTAAGTTTTCTACTGCGATGAGATGCAAATAGCTTACATATTTTATAACCGTATAGGGCCTGTAGTCAAAGCCGGCGATGATTACCTCACGGCCGTGCAAGTCTTTTAGCTTATTCGGAAACAAAGAATTCCTTAGCTGAAATCGTTGCTCAGCGGCATAGTATCGATCTAATAGTTTTAACTGTGACGGCTTATCCGCCCTAGTGCCCACATATTTGTTGGTCTTCATTTCAAAGACGGTCCCAGATGCATGGTTCTGAACAATAAATAGAATGTTTGGCTGATCTGAAGATATTCAGTGGCGAGTATTGAACAGTGCTTCCGTGGATGGTATTTTAAATATTACCCTCAAAGAAAAAGTTTTCACAGCAATCCTCGTTCAGCTCATCCGCCACGTGCGAGAAAACGAACCTGTTGTGCAAAGAGCGCCATATAGAATACATGGATGCATTTGTGAAAGCTTCCACAAAACGGGATATGTCCTTTCCAAATACCATAAATGTCTGCATTTAAGAAAATCAATTGTGAATAGTAAATTCTTGAACCAATTGGAAAACCGTACCTCACAGTGTGTCACCTCAATAGATATCATAAGCTTGAGCAGAAGATCATCATATGGCAAGTTATTCTCCTTTAGCTGTTTTCTCCTTGGCTGTACGTCAACAACATCTTCGGCGAAACTTCCCTTCAGATTATTCATATTAATAACCACGAAGCTGGCATAACCTGCTACAGAGGCATGTGGCTGGAACTCAAAGTTCCTATTCCAGAATAGGCATATGGTACTCCCATTCAAATAGGTTCCTACTTTATAAGACATTGGTTCCTCAAAGTGTGGCCCTGTTCGCAATATAAGTACTTACTTATGGAATTAAGAACTAGCGACCAACTCTGCTGCACAAATAACATTTTCCTTTTGAACATTCGGTGGTTAGCAGTCGAGCGATTTATTTGAACCCAAATTGAGCTGAACTTTCAATAGCTTTGACCGTTTGTGATTTTGTTTGTTTGTTCATCAATTGAACAAATTGATGTAAACGGTAGTCTATTCTCAATTACTAACGCTCACGTGGTTTTGGTTGGTTTTCGAAGGGTAGATAAACTCGGTTCACATTCTGCCTTTTATTTTTATAGGGTAACATCATTAACATCTGTTATTGTAATGTTTTCTTTAACTTTACTTTAAAGTTAAATCGAACGAATGAGGCAAAAACTTCTTAGGGCTATAAAGCAATTGAAAGCTTCTTTTAAAGACGAATGTAGGGCTGTCGCAGCTCTAATTCCCATACAAAATCCAAATTTTGACGTTTTTCATTCGAGGTAACGTCACTGTAATCAATGTAATCTGGTCCGTTACGCAAATACAGGCCTTAAGCTTAGATAAAGGAATATTCAAAACAAAAATATATTTTTTTTTAAAGTCAAGTCAAAGTTTAACGTGATGGAACGTGTGAGTCGCTTCTGTGGACGCGACTCTACTTTTATACCGGTACTCAGTCAGTATATACATTTTTGAGCTTATGATTT